TATCACAGAAACTTAGAAGATATAAGCCTGTGGGTTGACCCACTGGCACAGTCTTTGGTAGTGTTTGACACGACTGCTGCTCAATTATTCTGATACAGTTCTTGAAATAATTGTCCCTCTATTTTTGATGCATCTTCCATTCTGTTTGTCTGGTCCCCTTCTCCATGAAGGTGCCTTTGAAACAAAATTGAGATTCTTCTAAATCTGCTGCTTCCTGTTCTGTAGACCTGAATGTGGTCTTGGAAATAACAGAATTGCATTGATCCAGTGATTCAAGGAATGACATAGGTGAACCTCAGGAACTCTTATGCTTTGAAACCATAAGATGATAGGATAATTCAATTTGTAAGGAACTTAAGGGTGTTTTCTAGTCCAAATTTCAATATGCAAGACCTCACGATTCCTCAAGCTTTCTTTAGTATATGAAATGAATCCGGGGGAAAAAAATAAGTTCGCGTGTATTAAAAATTCTTTTTTAGTTTATTTTACAGCTGGAATGTGCTATGGATTTAGCATGTCTCAGAGGGAATACTTTTTCTTGAGTCTTACTGAACAAATGAAATTCTACTCTGGCTCATTAACAGAGAAATCAAAATAAATGGCAATAATCCAGGTATCTGCTGTAGTCCTATTTCAGAATGTTGTTTATATTAACACAGTTAGTATGTAAAATGTTTGGGTTTTAATTACAGCTTAAGAAAGTAAACGGTTTTAAAGAGAGGTGAGTGAAGTCATCTGGGTAAACATGCCAATCTGAAAACAGCTCCCCAAATTAAACTAAGAAGCATTATAAGGAAGGATTCATTAGAGATTTTTCTTTCTTTTTTTCATTAGCCTTCACTCATTTTCAGTGCAAGTGAACTGTTCAGTATTACACACTGTTTATTCCTATTGCATTCTCCAGAAGACAGCAGCAAAGCTGCTGTGCAGTGCTGATTTTCCCCTACAGTCAAGGCAAACAAAGCTCAGAAGAGTAGAAGTTGCTCCTGGACACTCTGTTGAAGTCAAAGTTTAAATGGACATATCTGTTTCTAGAGAAATTTCTTTCGTCCAGATTTCTAGTTCCTTTGGTGCTGTTAAATCACTCATTTAAAAGATTAGATATGTTGAGTTCTGTGTTCCCTTAATTCAGTGTGGAGCATATTTGAAGAATTTGTAGTAGCCTGGCTCATGCCAGGTCCAGCTCTGGCAACCTGCACCCCTTGCACACTGAGCTTCCTCCCCCCAGAAGCTGCTGTCAGAGTAGGGCTGAGCTGTCGGGACCTTGGTGAGCCCTGGGTCTCCAGAGAGCACAGTGCTGTCACAGCAATTGCCCCCATTCAGTACTTGCCCCCACTATAAGTCTGGCTCAAAAAATACCTTATTTTAATATAAAATACCTTATTTTTATATTTTTATATAAAATTGCTTATATTTCTTGAAAGCGAATTAAGTATTTTATATTTCAAGTGGGCTTTTTCATTTATTGCAGTGAACTAATTACAGAGTTAGTGGGGTATTTGGGCTCCATGGCCTTCTAGCCAGGTGATATTAATTGCTTGACTGAGCACCATGGTTCTTGTTGAGTGATGTTTAAATGGTCTGCCCACAATCACCTGGTAATTCTTATCTACAGAGATACAGCCCAGTGGTATACTCACTGAGCCGTATAACTTTTCATTATTTGCTCATTAATTTTGCCAGATTTTAGGTACTTGGTCTGGAATTTTCCTTCCGTAGTGTTTGCTTGAAGCAGTAAGTGTTCCTCTTTCCAGAAACAAGATGAAGAATCATGGATTGCTTTTCCTATATAGATTTTCAATTAATAAAATAATTATTACAAAACCAGTGAGAAAATCTTCTGCTGTGGGATGTGGAGACTTGAAATTCAGGAGAGAATCCTCCATGAGTCATGGACATATTTTCATTCCTCTGCCCCCCACCTAGATATTTTCAGGTTATAATTTTTCCCTCAATATTTCAGTTGTTATGAGTTCCAAACAACTGTGTGCAGAGTTTGATCCCTAAATACTTTTCAGTTTTCTTCTGCTGTAGCTTTGCACTGCTGTAGCTTTGCACTGCTTCAGAGCTGTGATATTGAAGGAATTTGGGGAGATGCTGATAAATAGATACTAGAGACTCTGTGGAGTGTCTCTGTTACTGATAGTTCTCTTCCTTTTGGTGCCAAATAAGATTGCTATGCAAATTGGACAGGAACTGGACATGAGGAAAAAGGATAGTTCTCCTGTATCACAGGAATAGGAAGCCAGTGGAACGGGACTGTGAGTAAATAGTGACTGCTGAGAACTGAAACAGGATTAAAAAAAAGATTATTTAAATTTGAACAAGGAGGGAGATGAGGACTTGGAAGTGAAGATGAGGGAGAAAGGAGGAAACAGAAAGGGAGGAAATTTGGGGCTGATAGGCTGTGAAGGGTTTGCCATCTCAGCTTTTGAGGTGAGTCTAGGAGAGACAGGAATAAAAATGCAGTTGAGATGGAAGTAGAAGGAGCCAGTCCATACAGTGAATGAACTGGGACAAGCTGGGGAAGGTGGACTGAATGTGAGGAGAGATTACCGTATTCTCTTTAGAACAGGAGATAGATCAGTTCTCATAACTAATGAGAGTAAACAAATGTCATTCAAAAGAAAACCTGGAACAAAACTCATCATTCTAATGCAATCTAACTGCTGCAGGCTCAGTAAAGATGCAGGGTTTAAGACATTATTTTTTCCGTAATCACCACCTTCACACTCTTCAGTTACACTGGCAATAATTACTCCTGTTCCTTGTTCCCCTCTGGGGCTCATAATTTTCTTTCCCTTTGCTTATAGCCTACTCTGCTCTGCAGGTACCAGCAATTCTTGTCTTTCAAACTGTCTTTTATTAATGTAGCTCAGAATTCAGAACAGTTGTTCATCATCCATAGCTTCTGTTACAAGAGCTGAAAAGAATTTTGTGTTTAGTTGGTCTTTTCTTTTTTCCTTAGCTGTAAAAATTATTCTTATGAAGTTAATACTGAGCATTACAAATGCCACTCTGCAAGAAATCATTGTTCCTTCAAGTGCATTCGGTGTTGTTTGCAGGTTTGGTTTTGCACAGTGTTGACAACACAATGAGATTTTTCATGTTTTCTTGCTATTTTGTGAGATTGAATGGGAGAGGTTGGGATGATGATGATGGTTATTAATGTTATTATTATTTCTCTTGGGAATATATTAAAAGATAGAACGAGGATAAATGGAGCCTCAAGGGTGACTCATGTTTTTGTTTAGCTTGAACTAGGTCCAGCTTCTAGGAGGAACTGGATTTTAGATGCATGTTTTTGCAAAGTGTTCTAAACTGAAGTTATAATTCCAGCAGTCTCAATGGCATGTGTTTGCTTTTATTTAGAAGCGTGTTTAAGGAATGTTTTTGGTGGGTGAATGCAAAACAAACACAACTATCTCAGTCTGGAGGCTGCAATTCTTTGGCGTATTCAGTGTCAGCAAAAATCAGGTGGAAGAATGGTCTTAGGAGAATGGACTTGGTTATTTTTCTGATTTACTTTGTAAAGAATTCTCTTTATGCTCAGTTGCAGGTTGTGAAAGTGTGATTTCTTGCACTGTTTGCTTTCTACTTTGTAAATGTTTCTGAGCATTTGAAAGGTGCCTAAAGTTTCTTTTCAGCATGCGCCACTGCCTGCTTGTCTTTGATTAACACAAATTCAGGAAGTTCTTTTCTTCCAAACAACAAATTGTTATCATATTAATTGTCACCAAGTGTGTAACACTGTGACACCTTTATGCTGTAGCTTCTATAATGTTGTTCAAGGTGTGGGTCTAATTTTTTTTCTGTTGTAGATTATCAGTAAGTCTTGTCTATAACTTGACTTTTAGTTGGGGAAAAAAAACCCAAAAACACTACCAACAAAAACAAAACATCAAAATCCAAACAAGAAAATTTGCTCTCACGTGCAATGTGAACATTTTAGCTTGTGAATATTTTGAGATTTGTCTGAAAAGCAGTCAGTGACATTCATTTTATAAGTTGTTTGGGGAGTGAAGCAAAGTGAGGACTTAAATTTTTTTGGTGTTTTTTTTTAGGGGGTTTGTTCTTATATCTTAAAAACGTTCCCTGAGAAAATACTTGTAGACGTGTATTCATAACTTATCAGTTATCAGACAGTCATAACTTATGTTTTGAATACAATAGATAAGAATGGTGTAAGAATCTAATAATGTCAGATATTTTTTAAATGTAGCTTGATGTGTATTTCTAATATCTGTACTTAATTGAAAAGAAATGTCAACATTTGAACCTCGTTTACAAGTTGAACAACAAATGTCCCTCTGGTAACTGGGAGCTTTTGTCCTACTCAGCTGTAGACTGAGAACATACACTCTTCCTGTATTTCAGTACACTTAGGAAAAGCCTGAGACAAAAAAGGCCAAGTTTACAATATGAGGAGTGTTTATTATGCTGCCTGCTTAGAAGGGTAGTTCCATCTGCATCATGACCTGAATGAGGCAGGCAGAGTGTGGCCAGGCAGAGCTGCAGTGGTGTGTACAATGGTCACGACGGGGGTACACAGTGAACTGAGATGCATGTGAGAGAGGAATGGCAATGAAAGACATCAAATCTAAAAATGTGTTAACTATTTCAGGATTTCATTGGCCTTTGTTCTGTTGTAAAATCTAGGGGTTGTTTTCCAGCTCCAGTACAAGCATGCATCTTCCACTTGAGAGCATTTCACTAAAATTCTAAAAATTTAATATACGAAAGCTCAGAGCAAGTAAGATTCTCCTGTCTACGCTTGAGACATGAGAGGAATTTAACTACACAATTCTTACTAAAATTAAGAAGCATTGTAGAATTTGACTGATCTACAGCCTCATGAAATGTCGCTAGTGCAAATTTCACCATATCATGAGTGACTGTCGGGTTGCTGATTTTGAATGAAAAAGACTTGCAGAGTTAATGCTTGGAATACATCTCATGCAATGCATTTTGTACTAATCCTGGAATTTGTTTAATTGCAGGGATATAAAACCAGACAACATCTTGATGGATATGAATGGACATATTCGATTAGCAGATTTTGGTTCTTGTCTGAAACTGATGGAAGATGGAACGGTAAATTAGAAAGAATGATAAATTCCTAAATATTTTTTTTTCAGTCCATTGATAGCTACAAAATGTGTGCTAATAAAGGGAATAGGCGCCTTATGGCAAATGAAACGGAGCTGTAAATGGTATTGGTATATAACTGACTTTCTTGAAAATTCAGCTGCAGACTGCTTGGATTTGCAGTATATTAAAAACTTCTTAGCATACAGTCAGCTCATGAATAAATAAAGGGAAGCTGTGCTGTCAATGCCAAGTAGGTGTTTATGAACTATGAATCTCCCAGTTTTAAGCTCTGAGCTTAAAATCTTTATTGAAAATGTAAGCTGTAGTATGAGCAGGATGAGATACTGAAATAGGATAATGTTCTTCTAGTACATTTAAATTTGTACATTAAGTGTGACTAGAATGTAATTCCGGTATGTTTAATCATGTCCCAGGGGATTACAAAGTATTTGACTTAATATATGTGATTACCAAATCTATAATTGCTTACTGGCTCTAGTCCTGACAATTGACAGTTTTGGCCTTTATCTGTTTTTAAATATTGATAATAGTTTAGCAAAAGTATATTATTGGGCTGCCTATTAATGCAGTGCCTTGGATGCTTAAGTATTTCTGTATGAATTTAGAAGCTTTTGCTTGTGTTTAGTTCTTGTTATGACAAGAATGCTGGACTAAATTTATATATACATGGGCATAGTACCACAGTGTCTGTAATGATGAAAGTTGATTTTAATCCTGAAAATGTAACTTCCCCAGGTCCAATCTTCAGTAGCAGTTGGAACACCAGACTACATCTCTCCAGAAATCTTGCAGGCCATGGAAGATGGAAAAGGGAAGTATGGGCCCGAGTGTGACTGGTGGTCCCTGGGCGTTTGCATGTATGAAATGCTTTATGGAGAAACGCCCTTTTATGCTGAGTCCTTGGTGGAGACCTATGGGAAAATAATGAACCACAAAGTTAGTGCATTTTCTGTCTGTCTCTAAGCTAATTTTTAATAATGGGGTAACTTGAACACGTATTTAAAAATAAGTTTTTATGTACTAATTATGTTAAGTGTTCATAAATGTAGAACAAAAAATGTTTCCATGTAATAAGTTAATGGTTATGGATTGCAGATGACTTTGCTTTGGAATAAGGCTAAAATTTATAATCTGGGTTTGGAAACATAGATGTTAATTCACTCTGTGGAGTCTGTCTTGGCTACATTGCATCAGTCTTGTTGTGTTTCTTTTTTTCTGGTGTACCCATTCCTTGGCTTATGCAGAAGATTCTAAAATGTTATTCCACATGGAGCTAGCTGTAAGATTCAACAGCTGTAGTGAAAGAGATATTTAAATATAGGAGAAAAGCTAGAAGACAAAATATCTTAATAGTTTCTATCCTCAGCAGAAGTCTTTTCCTTGAAACCTTACTGCGTGTATTTCAGAGCTGGAGTATTTGCACATTTCTTTTTCTAGATAATGATTTTCACTAAGACGGTATTTTTTCTAACTTCTTCTTGGTAATAAACTATCTCCTCTTATTTTGATCTTTAAGGAGAGGTTTCAGTTTCCTGCTCAAGTGACAGATGTCTCTGAAAGTGCAAAGGACCTCATCCGAAGGCTCATTTGTAGCAGAGAGCATCGACTTGGGCAAAATGGAATAGAAGACTTTAAGAACCATCCATTTTTTGCTGGGATTGATTGGGACAACATTAGGAACTGTGAAGCACCTTACATCCCAGAAGTCAGCAGCCCTACTGATACATCAAACTTTGATGTGGATGATGATTGCTTAAAAAACTCTGTAAGTATACAATTAACATTTTGATGAATCAGCCTTTGTGGTATACTTTGTAACAAAATGTATGGAAAAGGCAGTTTATTTCGCTGTGTTCTGCATAAATAACAGTTAGGTGCTGCTTTGAAGAACTGAGAGGGGAATACTTTCATAGTTTGTAGGCTGGTCCTAAAATCATACTTGTGTAAGGATAACTTTTGTAAATTCATTGTAGCTTTACGTGTAACTTTAGCTAGTATACATCTGTTGCAGTAACAAGTTTAGTGTCCATGCCTTATAAAGAATAATGCATTTACATACAGATAGCCTGCAAGACTATTTCTAGCAGAGCATTGCTAAGAATTAGTGTAAGTTTGCATATTGCATTTTATTGTATTTTATTGCTCTACTCTAATTACTCATATTGGTATTTCATTCCCTTCAGTTCATTTCCAGTAAACTTTTTCCAGCCTTTTCTGCAACTTGAGTTTTGAGACATGTAGGAGAAATATTACAGCCGTTTCTTAAGGAACAAGAAGATATTTTTGCCTTTCCTTAAAATGTTCTGCAGCTATTGATTTTACCAGACTTTCTGTTTCTATGCTTTTGAAAAGGAGGTTTGACAGATGATAGATGCCTTAGCATTGGAGGAAATATTTTTGGGTGTGTTTGTGTGTGTGTCTGTTGAAAGATGCAGAAACCTGCTGTTTACGTGTGAGGTAAAGCATTTTCACCACTTTTGCTTTTGTTTTCTGAACTGCATGTGCATCTCAGTTTCACTCAGTTTTCTGGCCATGTAGATAAGTGGCAACATGAATTGATTTAGACAAGATGATCATTGTTTGCATTCCCTTTTCTCTAGCTGCACATTAAAACATGGAAACCATTTTGACTAAAATATTTTGTGGGTGTCAGTCTCTTCTCACAAGTAACAAGCCACAGGACAAGAGGAAATGGCCTCAGGTTGAGCCAGGGGAGGTTTAGTTTGGATATTGGGAAAAATTTCATTACTAAAAGGGCTGCCCAGGAAAGTGGTGGAGTCAGCTATCACTGGAGGTTTTTAGATGTGGTCCTTAGGAAAGTCATTTAGTGAGGGACCTGACAGTTAATGGATCTTGAGGTCTTTTCCAGTTTAAGTGGTTCTGTGATCTCTGGTTAAATCTCAGACCCCTTTTCCTTATGGGCAAATTAAGCAAATCAGTGTAGCTGCATAGGATTACTTGCACTTCTTTGATTTTGTTTCCTCACTTACTTCTGGTATTTCCACCTCCCTTCGCAACAGAAGTATTTTTATCTTAAAAATTGTTTATACCATCTTCAGATACCTGTTTGCATATTATTTTGTCCAGCAACAGCTGTGAGGATGGAGTAGCTGGAGTGGATGCTGTATATGGCCGGTCTTTGTTTGTGAAGCTGAAATACCTTTTAGAGGTTGTTCACACATTTTAGTGTTGTCCATTCCACCACTCCTCCTTTTTACAGCCCAGTCTCCCACCTGAGGTTTTTAAACTGTGCCAGTATAATGTGAATGCTTTACCATTGTGAAGAAACAGGGACCTGCAGGTGAAGAAAGAAAGCTCCTCTGCTGAGTTACTGGACTCTCAGCTGAGAAAACCGAGTCCAGTACTTAATTTGCTTTAGACATTTGGGGGTGAAAAGCAATGCCTCTGAACTGTTAGAGAAAAATGCCAGTTTCTAGAGCTTCTTTTTCAGTTTTCTAATTTGAAACATCTGAAGGTTTTGTTCTAATATAAGGATGTTATTTTCTTGCCATTTCTTTTCACACCTAGTATCTCAGAACTGCTGAAAAAACCTAGCCTAAAGGCATTGCACGACTGAGAATATTTTACATTTTTGCTTTGACCAGTGGACATTGTATTTCATACTGCTTTGCCTCAAATTCCTTATATATAACTTGGAGGTATTTTTCCTCCATATTTCATACGTATCTTTTGAGGAAGTTCCACATACTCACTCTGCTATTATAGAAGTCAGCACCACAGATAAGCCCATGAGACGTTTTTTTTTTTTTTTTTCAAAAATTCTTGGCAAGATTTGAATTGCATAGAGCAAATGAGGAAAACCCAATGCTGAAGATAAAAGACAGTGTTGAAAAGCCATGGTTGTTATTCTTCCTGAACTTTGAATGAGACCATAGTCCCATGGAAAAATTATATACATAAAAATGACATTTAAAAAGTATGTTGAGCGTACACACAAGCATAAAGGGCAGAACTGTGATGTTCAGGCAGCCTAAGCTGTGCTGGGTTTTAACTTTTAACTGGTTTAGTAGCCTTATTGAGAGATTCAGTCATAATTTTCTCAGCATGGTTGTACCGCTAAATTAACACAAGCAGCAGGAGATGCGTATCTTCATCTCTGCAAAACAAATTCTTTCACAGAACCTTACCTTATGACCAATAGATACAATATTTTAGAACAGTAACCTGTGTGCTGCCTAAGAATTGTCATGTGGGCTGTTAAAATCATGCAATTAAGCATTTGATATTTTTCAACTTACCTGTGAAGACAGTTTTGAAATTTGAATCTATGAAAGGTGAAAACAAAATGTAAAGGAGAATTAGAATTTTACTTTTTCTAACCATAGTAATCTGTAATAATTGATATTTATTATGATTTAGTGGAAAGTTAAGGTTTTCTAATTTCATCTTTTCCTTAGTTTCCAAAATGCTCAACTTCATGAATTTACACAATCTAGCAATATCATTAGTGTTGATTGGGAACCCTTTTATAACAGGGTTATAAAGGTTTTGGTCAGCTAAGAGGACAAGGTTGTGATGTAATGTAGCTGACATCATCACTGGAAAGGTAATTTCAGTTTTCTTTTGAATGCAGTCTTACTCCTTGTCCTTTCCTGCTGAGTTTTATATGAAAGAAATGTATAACTGGTTCCTTTCATTAATTTTTGTTTTGGTTTAGAAAGAAATTGTTACATACCTTTTCTGACAATTTGAAATATTTTATCACTTCCAGTGCAATAATCATCTTCTTGGACATTTTCTTTTGGTGACTGTTATGGCCATCTCTAGTATAGCAACACAAGCCTTGCATCTTGGGGTTAAATAGGAAGCTTTTAACAGAAAATTTAAGAATATTAGAACTTCAAATAGTCCAAATAAAATAAAAACAGGGTTATTTTAGTCTGAAGAGAAGTTCAAAGATTTGTCTTTGTTTGTAGTTCTTTGTCTGGCAAGAAAGAGGAGCAAAGAATGAAGAAATGGTCAAAGCACTAATGGGATTAGAACACTCTCTGGTATTATTTCTTTCTAGTAAATGCCTGCTGATTGTTCTCTCCAAATAGAGATGGCCCACTCAGAAGTGGGCTGCTAATTCTACAGGCAGGAGGCCCTGTTGGCTGAATAGCAGAGAGGAGCATAGCAGGGAATGAAAGGTGTTGCACTTTGTGCTAAGTGCTTCTTGGAAAAAAGAAGGAATAAATTGGCATCTCATATGTGTAATTTTCTGCTTTCCTCCAACAATAGCCTATTTAATGAGAAAGGCATTTTTATGTCAGCATGCTCTGTTTTTGTATATGTTAAATGCTATTATAAATATATTTAGTTGATGTTGTTTCATATTTGGGCTGTAGATAAGGATGACAGTGAGTATAGTTCATATGATACTATCACTAACACTTCTCTTATGGTTAAACTGGAAAATCTGTTTAAGTCCAGTAGGATACTGCTTACTCAACTGTCCTATTATTTTTCTAGGAAACAATGCCTCCACCATCCCACACTGCATTTTCCGGCCATCATTTACCATTTGTGGGTTTCACATACACAAGTAGCTGGTAAGTTAAGTGTTCAAAAATTGTATGTAGGCTAGTTACACAGTGTTCTAACTTTGTTTTTGAAATGTATTGAACAGATATCAAAGAATGTGGTTTGTTGAGGAAATTACCATTAAAGTGCTGTCTGTTCAAAAGAATGAGCTCTCTGCAGGTAAAATTTACATACATGTAAAGGTCAGCACCTGTGCTCAGGGGAGTTTTGATGAGAAAGGTTGTTATTAGAGAATATAGAAAATTAACTCTCCGTTACAAAGTTAAGACTAGATATGTGGACCCTGGCAGAACTTAGTTAGACATTAAAACCACTTTTATTTGTAGTCATTTGACATTTCTGTAAGTCTGAATAGAAATTTTGTAAAAATTACTTTCTTTGATATCTGCTATTAATTAGAATTTATGTCACTCATTTCCATTGCAAAATGAAACCAGGAAGTCCCTTGTATGCTCCTTGTTTATAGAGATAAATAAAGTGTTTACAACCATTGAAAAGACAGGCCTGTTTCTGCTGGGAAAGTGACTATGTCCTAGAATGTCCTAGACTTCAAAAGGATTATTTGCATAAGCAGTAGCATGTGTACATGGGTAGCCACAGCATTTCTGACATGTCCATGCCCTAGTTGTTATGAGATAATTTCATACTATTTTTAGTGACTGTTGTCTTTAAAGCATTTGTGATATTTGATTAACTATTCTCAAATGAACTGTTACTGTAATTTTACTGTCTAGGCTTTTGCTTTTTACTGTCTGGCTAACATAGAGTGTCCATAATGATTTTTAATCAGGAGTTCATCCACTTCTGTATAACAAAAAATGCATTGAGGAGATCAGGCATGCTAGGTAAAAATTTTTTCAATTTCCAATGAGCACATACAAACAAGGTATTCTCTGATGTTGTAATAAATGGCATTGTAATTAACAACTTAAACAAACTGTTTATTGGTTGACGTTTTTATAGCAGTGTTTTAAACCAGGCTGTTGTAAAATCCAATCCTATTTATTTTTTTCCCCCAGTGTGCTTTCAGACCGCAGCTGTCTAAGACTGACAGCTGGACCACCCTCCATGGATCTTGATGCCAGCATTCAAAGAACTTTGGAGGATAGTTTAGCAACAGAAGCTTATGAGAGGAGAATAAGACGTCTAGAACAGGAAAAGCTTGAACTTAGCAGAAAACTGCAAGGTATAGTCATTAAAAAAAAATCATTCCATCACTTTTTAAACTTAGATTAACCTGTAGTTTTGTAAGGCACTGTTAGTACTGTGGAAAAAATTAGATATACCTCCTGGAATGCTTTCTAGCAGAAAAGAATTGTTTTTCATTATTTTGGTTGACAAATTAAATTTCTGTTACTCTTTATGCCTGAAATACACCATGTATGCAACTTCTTAGGCTAACTTTGTTCTCACTGTACCTTGGCCACTATGGCATAAACATTTAGTTCTTAAAACTTCTAAGAACTTAGTTGGTCCAGCTGACAGTTATTGAAAAATTGGCACTTAATAGTTGGAAATTACAGACTGTAGAATGTCCAGTGAAGGATCTTTTGGCATGTCTTAATTTATCAGTAGTATCTCTTTGATCTCCTCAGATGTCAGACATGTTATTCATCCCTCTCTCTTCCATCTTTTTCTAGAGTCCACCCAGACAGTGCAGGCTCTGCAGTATTCAACAGTGGATGGCCCAATAACAGCAAGCAAAGATTTAGAAATTAAAAGTTTGAAAGAAGAAATTGAAAAGTTGAAGAAACAGGTAACAGGTATGTTGTAAATACTAATGTAAAAGCTGTAACAAGAAACTGTATTTTGTCAAGTTTTTTTTTTTCTCTCTCCAATCGTAATGCTGGTTTTCCTTGGCTTTATAAAAGTTTTCCAGTCTATTTTTACTTCTCATTTTACCCCTCACTCTCCCACTGTACCTCAACATTTTCTCCAAATTCAGTTTGAGTTTTCCAAGTGGCAAGGAGCAGCGCGTGAGTGAGGATACAATGGGCCATGAGGCTGCACTTCCAGCAGCAGAACTGATCAAAGAAAACTGCCACCAAAATAAGTCCTGCCTGCAGCTGCATGGCCCCTTCTCAGTCTGTGCATTCCCTGCACTCTCTCATGACTTTAATTAACTCAATTAAACAAGGAAAATGCTGTTAGATAGTGAGAATTTAATCAACCTATGATCAGATAAATCAGGACAAGGTGGGCAATAGAAGTGTATGGGAGAAGGAAGATGAGAGGGAGAAGAAGCACCTTTCAGCTCTGCTGTCAGTGAGCTGTCATTCCTTTCAAAATTGAACATTTATTTTCTTTGCTTCTCAGAGTTCTTGAAGTTTTTATGAAAACTAAAGTTTTGGCTGTCAAGTACCTCAGTACTTTAAGTTGCAAAAGTGGTTTTGAAATCTGTGCAGCTAAAATGATTATCTTTTTGATTAATGTTATGCTGACTTTGATCAGGACTCTGACACTTAGCCCAGTGTGTGTGTTCTACAGAGGCAACTGGAGACATTTAGGGAAAGATCCATCTTTTTCCAGCCTTACTTATCCAGATTCTGGGCAATTCATGTTTTGAGAACTTTGAGAGGGAGGGCTTACATTGCACCACCATATTGAATATAGCTATGAGTGAACCAGTTTGATGTCTGTTTAGCTAATATTTTTTTATCCTGCTTTAAAGGCTAGTATTCAGTATTCTTGATTTGATATTCTGAGTTAAGTTAAAGGGAGTTTTCTCTCACAGTGATTCATAGCTTAGGACTCCTGCTATACATCTCCATTATGCTGTCTTTAAAATAGGATCTTGAGAGCAAAGACATCTCAAAAAAAGGAAGAAAGGAAGTGCAGCAAAGTTTTTTTATATTTAGGAAAATTAACAAGAGACTGTTAGGTATCAGGTCTGGAGCCAGAGAAACAGGGAGAAAAACCCAATTAATCTTAGAGGAAAATGTCTGCGTTTTGTGTTAAAAATCAGTCACAAGCAGTGGTAGATACATCTCTATTATATGTCCTTATCTTGCCTGGGGCAAGAGAAAAACAAACAGGCAGAAATATTGGAGGAAACTACAAAAAACATTGGTTCTGGTTTGTATTTGTGACAAGACTTCATTCAATTCCTGAAAGTGTCAGGAATGCCAGCAGTGACACCCACAGAAAGAGTAACTTGAACTCAGCTTGCAGGCACTTGAGTGGATGTGTTTGGACTCTGCAGCTGCCTTGTGGGGCAGGAAGAGCAATGTGTGAACTGCAGAGTGCAGCACATAGATTACAGCCTGTTAAAATTGTGTAGTCTGAAAAAAGCTGTTACAGATACACAGTTGGACAGCTGCTGTGGCGTGATGCAGCAGTTTTGCATTGTACCATAGGCATTATTTTTGGATAGGAACATGGCTTAGGCAGCTCAGGGAGGATCACTCTGCTTTGACTGATGCCGTGTTGGTACTATATCAGGACAAAGGGTTTTGTGAAATTTTGCTCCAGCCAAATGTCCCTCCTCTTGCTGCTGTTTTGAGGATAAAGACAACATGATCAGAAATCCCTTCTCTGCAACAATCCTTAGATCAGGTTTTGAGTCATAGGGACCACTGAAAAGTGACGTTTACAAGAACAGTTTTTGATTGAGACCAGTCATTCACAGAAAAACATCAGAATCATCTTTAAATTGTATTTTATTCTTTACTATTGAGCTGCAGCTTAGTTCACTGCTGAAAGTATCACTCACTTCCTTTGGTAATGAAAAAAAAAATAGTAAAGGTATGGAAACATTCCCCAACACATCTGCTATCCCTTTTGAAACTGAAAAGAAGACAAAGTCTGGTGAAGGTGGTCAATACTGAGAAGTTGTTTCCTAAAGTAATTTTCTGCTTCACACCACATCCATATTTGTGTATTTGTTCCTAGACAGAATGTGTACTTTTGGAGTTTGATTTGGAAGCGAATAATGGGATTAGATGAGGAAGATGTAGAGCTGCATTAACCCATCCCCAGTCACTGCACAGCTTTTCCAGTATATATTTGAATGCTGTGTCTGATCCTGCCATTTGTTAGAAAAGACTCATTTGTGCCTTAAGCTGTAGCTAATACTAGCAAATTTGATAAAACAAAAAGAGAATTTTCTATTTTACTTGATTTTTATGGAGGTTCTGAGATAGATTTTAGAACTATATTAATGGCAGAATACAGAAACAAACCAAGTGATGGCCATGTCTGAATGCTTCCAAATATAAGGGAGCTAGTTCCAGGTTTTCTGGATAGCCTTTAAAAGATCTGATGAACTTTAAGAAGGTTCAGTTCAGGTGCAGAGATGAACTTTTTATGCTTTGGGCTCATCTCTTGAGTTACTAAATGTAATAATATATTACAGTGAGTGTTTGCATATATTATCTAAAATGTTAGTTACAGCTAGGGTGATTAAATGGAAAATTACCATTTATGACACGTATGTCACACCTAGCTTTTTGTTACATTCTTTAACCTGTTTTACTGCCTTTTCTGAAGCTGTAAGAGTAAACACCTGCTTAAAAAGGTAATAAAGAATGAGCTCAAAATTGTGTCAAATTCAGGAGTGTCACCGGGAGGGCTTAGAAAAATACATTTTTCTTGTCTATCTGGTTTTCCAGGAAATGACAAGCTAACATATGCTTTCAATTTTTGAGGTCAAAGTTATAATTTTTGTTCGCTAAGTTACATAGGAGAAAACTTTGAGGAATCTTTAATATTGCCAAATATGTAAAGGGCAGCAATGCAAGAGGAAAACAGAGCTGTGGAACAAAGTAGTTCATGCACAGAAGAGAGATTTATCTTGGCTCAGCAGAGCCATATATAAACTTTCTTTTCACTGGTGACTTCAGAGTAGACTACATAAGTAAGGCAGTTAATAATTTCTGGCTTTGAGCTGCATCTCTTATTTAAGTGCATTCTTTTAAATTTTTAAACAAGAGTGAGTGAATTAAAACAATAGTGAATATTTTTCTGGCTATAAGAAAATGGTATTAATTTGCTTATAAAATTCTTGTGTTTCAGAAATTAACCCTCTTAAAAATGTATGTGTTTTTATATTTGATTTCTCCAAGAGCCAGTCTCTTAGGGTTACATTTATGAAATTGTAGTTAAAGGCTGTTATTAAGAATATAGATGGTTTCCTGTTCTTTGGGTAAATACAAGTGGTCTGAAGACCTGCCCACAACTGAAATAAAAGAAAACATGTCCAGTGATTTCATAGAACTTGAAATTAACTTACCTTCTTATATATCTTGCTTTAAAGTCTTGTTTTTGAAGTAAAGGCTACGAGGCAAAAAAAAAAACCAAAAACCACTCACTAGTTAGAAAATTTCAGTTGCCATATTTTATGAGTTTCAGGGTTTTTTTTTTTTGTAGAATTTGAGGGTATTTATATGGCATTATTTAACTGTGCCATAGAAATATACTGTCACTGTGTAACTGACTGTTGGTAAGAAACTGGCTGCAATAGTTCTCCCTTATTTATAGTAGTAATAAAGCAGATCACATAAAAAGAAGTGGTTTTCACACTAGAAATAAGTAAAATCAGCTGAAGTTAATTTTAAGAGTACTGACAGGAGAACACTTGCCAGCTCTTGAGTGACCCATTATTTTTACTGTTTCTTTTTGGGGGAAATTGGGAAGAGGAGGGTGACTGTTTATAATTACAGTGTAATAAGAGATGTATTGTATATTACATCACAGCACATAAAAGTCAAATGTATAAGTTGTGTTAAAGCATACATTACAGAATTATGTGTAGAGCACAGTCAATATAATGTGAGAAGACAATTTATTATCATTTTTGTGTTGTATTCCAGCAAGCTGAGACCTTTCATTCTGTTTCCTTAAAAGCAGATAATGGCAGCTGAAACAACCTGCTCCCTTTTCTAAACCAGATAAGAATTGCCTTATTTTGTGACGAAATGGAAACCAGAAAAAATATCGAAGGGGCTTCAAGCAGCTAGGCTATGCTGTTGTAGAATTATGATTTTTTCCCTTAGAATATTTAGAGTTCTGCTGCTTTTTCTAGAATCTGGCCAGCTAGAGCAGCAGCTCGAGGAGGCCAGCACTGCAAGGCGGGAATTGGATGATGCCTCCAGACAAATAAAGGCTTTTGAGAAGCAAGTCAGAACGCTGAAGCAAGAGAGAGAAGATCTTAATAAGGTAAAATCATTTTGTCAGCAACTGTTCTAAACCCTCAAGACTGTTTTTTGTTCATTTTGCTTGTAATAACTTTCAAGTGTAAAACTAATGAGCAGATAACAAGTGTGTAGCATGACCTACTTAGCTTTCTGCCTTTTTTTTTGTTGAAGAAAAGGACATTATTTAACACATTGTCTGTATGACTGCTGGGTGCTCCCTAAGTGATTGCTTCCAGATAGTGAACAACTCCATAATCCAAATTGCATGGTGGCTGCAAAAAAGGTTTTATAGCTTCACATTTAGGTGATAATGATAGGGGTTAGAAGACAGAGTAGAGAAGAACTATTCCAGACAATTTAATCTGAAGTATGGGTGAGACTTTAATAGTGAAAAAATGTTAAGAATATGGTATTAAGGCTGTGTCACAGAAGTATTTCCAGAGGGAGATGTGAAAAATTGCCCAAGTATGAAAATTGAAAAGTAATTTGAAATAACTACAGCTAAAGAATACTGGATTTTATTTCTTCTTCTCTATCTCCCAGATCCCTCATTTTCTTATTTATAACATACTGTCTTTCATGGCTCTTTTTTGTATTCATTATTAAACCAACCTGTAATCAGGTGTGAAATACATAAAACCTGTTTTTCATTGTGATTATATTGGCACAGTATTTTAGAGTCCACACTACAGTTGGTGTGCCAGCTGTGTTTAACACTGTTTCTTCTGACCCTTAAGGCCCTTAAAATTTTGAAAGCTGCCAATTTGTCCCAGAAAGACAATCTCTCTTCTAAACCAACTCTTAGTGATTAGGACCTCTTTTTAAGAACCTTAGAAACATGTTTAGATTTACATGGACATCAGCAGTGCCAAATATTAATTCTTCCAGTTGGTGGGCTTTTTTTTTAATCCTGAAGTTTACTTTTCCTTGATTCTTTTTTCTGCTCTGATTTGACTGAACATTATAGAACTATTTAAACTGTTATGCTCCCTCATTGGTAGTGGGGTGGCACAATCTAGGGCACAGCAAGCTTTGTGAAGGTATTGTGGTGTGGAGTTATCACTGCACTAGCAGTGTTATTTCATGCTGTTTCTTTGAAAAGGATAGTTATCATATATTGCTTTTATTCACTGCAGTGTTTTATTGCCTGAAACTTTCTCTGATATTTGATATTAAGGTACAATGTAAATAAAAGGTGCAGGAAATAATATTTGCCAGGCCAGTTTTCTAAAGCTTCTTGAGTAAAAATTTTCATAGAGCAGAGTTTTCCATTCAGTTTTAACCATTTAGCACTTGAGATTCTTGTAATTTATTTAAGTAATTATAAAAACACAATGCTAATGACATTTTTTGCTTTAAGAAAGCAAGGTATTTTTGTATTGTAATGCAAGTGCTTGAACACCATTTTGTTTACCTGTAATAATGGAGCAGATTCGTACTTGGTTTACATTTATGCAGTTTTGTTAACTCTAGTAGTGTAAAACATGCCTCTTTCCTTATTTATAGAGGCATACAATCTGTATTGTAGATGCATTCATGAAATCAGAGAGAATATGTGGTTTCTGTTCACTCTGGAGAAGGTGTTCGATGCTCATCCAAAGACAGAATTGGCCTTGTAGCTTTCTAGGTTTATTACTTAATTCTTTTTTTAAACTGTAGGAACTGGCAGAGTCTAGTGACAGATTAAAATCCCAAGCCAAAGAGCTGAAAGATGCACACAGCCAGCGGAAATTGGCAATGCAGGAATTCTCAGAGATGAACGAGCGGCTGACAGACTTGCACTCTCAAAAACAAAAGCTTGCCCGCCAGCTCCGAGATAAGGAGGAAGAAATGGAAGTGGTGATGCAAAAAGTAGAAAGTTTAAGGCAAGAGTTACGCAGAACAGAGAGACTTAAAAAAGAAGTAAGTGGTGAGAAGACTGTTTAGACTCTATGAAATAAGTTATATGTAAGGTTTTCTGAGTACTTTTTTAAATTTGTAAATCTTTAACCTTTTGTCTGTTGTTTCAAACAGTACCAATTTTGTTTTCTAAGACTTTGAAGTGTTCAGTTTGGTGCTGAAGATTTCTCTCTTATATTGAAAACCATCCATAGATTTTGAAAAAAAAACATGCAGAATCCTATCTATTAAAAACGTATGTACTTTTGTAGCTGGAAGTCCAAGCTGAAGCTGCAGCTGCTGAGGCATCCAAAGACAGGAAATTGCGAGAGAGGAGTGAACAGTACTCTAAACAGTTGGAAAGTGAAGTAGAAGGGCTAAAGGTTAGTCTGTTTTGATACTAACACCTGCAAACTTACTAGTCAACTAGGACTTGGATCTGTTTGATTGCTTTCAGATGTAGGACAAAAGGGTTTTGTCAGTCTGTCACTTCAGTTGGTGCTGAATGTTAACACAGGCATGCATTGCATTATTGCCCAGAAAAATTAACATTTGCCTGATGTGCTGTTTCTTAACAATCAACCTTGTCTTGCCACATTGCTTCCATTAATGCTTTGCTTAACTTTACCTGTTAAAAGCTTTTTTATTTTAGCATGGGATGGTTGAATATTTGAAGATAAACCTGCAATCTAGGCTGGTTTCTGTAGAGGTGTTCTGTCTGCTGTGTTGTTCCTCATGTTTCCTGCACCATGGATGTCAGCTGATGGAACCATACAGAAACAGTTTTAGCACATTCTGGCTCTCAGCCAGAGGATGAGGCATTTTTACCCAAGAACAGCATTGAGCGTGAAGACTTTGTTTGTATTGATGAGATTGCTCATATGTGCATGTGATTTTAAAAGAAGAAATTTAAGGCAGCCAAGAATGCTGTTATTTTATTCTGTGATTTAGTTTTTGTGCAGTGCTCTAGAGAAGGTAGGCTTTCTCAAAAATTGAATAGAAAGTTTTTAATTTATTTATGCGTGTTGCTGTTCATTCACAGCAAAATCCTGTTCCAAATGTTTCATGCAGTAGGGTAATTCTAAACTTTTTGGGCAAAATGTCCTAATTTTATAGAGATTAGTCCTAATCTGGTCTTAATTTAAATGAGCAACCAAGTCTTTTTTCATTAGAATTCCCTGGGACATTCATCAACATTAAGTTATGGCACAGAAAATTTGATGGTTTTATGCAAACGTTCTTCTCTTTGGCCTTCCTCTGCTAAAAGAAAATAAGGAAATTCACTCAATATGAAGTTTGGATTATTGAAGTTTCTACTGCTGTGAATTCAGATTGTTATCTGAAAATTAACATGTGTTTCTTCTGCTTCCATGAATCTTCCCCAGCAGCAGAGAGTTTGTATGACAATTTAAGAGGCGAGAAGAATTTATGGGAGATCTGTTGAGAATAAATGATATACTGATTTATAACAGCAGGGCAAGTTTATCAGAAGTGGAAAAGGGAATTTTAGGTTTCTTGGTGATATTTTACAATTCAGTAGGCACACTTTGGATCACAAGTGGTTGTTGTGATGCTGCACTGTCCATTCAGCAAAAGCTCTGCGTGGCTCCTTAGTTAAATTCAGGAAGCTCTCTTACACAAAAGTATTTAAAGAAAGGAAGGTTTCTCCAAATGAGGAGAATAGAAGAGACCATAAATGATGGAAGGTTAAGTGTAAACAGGATGTTGAAAGCTAAATAAAGAGAATTTAGGAAGTGTTTTGCAGAGGATGCTCAGAGAGATTGTGGAGAGTTCTTGAAATCCAAAGCAGAAAACCTCAGGAAACAAAGGGGGCTGCTTGGGGATGGAAAAGGCAATCTCTGAGCTAATAGAGCTGTGGCATAAAATGCTCCACAAGTCCTCAGTGTGTCAGACTTCACTGCTGAAGGAGGGGAGATTCCCACCCAGTGTGTTCTTTGCAGCAGGATGGGCAGATGAGCTGGATGTGTCTGGGATGATTGCAGGGAGCAGGAGAGCTGGCAGGGGAAGTCACCTGAGGGAGTTCTGAGGGAACTTCAATGAGAAGCGAGCTGCTGGCCAAGATGTGAAGCCCTTATTACAGGCAGCCCACTGTGCCACTGTAACTCGTTCAGATCATCTGGGAGGTGCAGAGGGCTGGGTGCAGCTTCCTCAGGAAAGGAGCAGAGGCTGTGGTAAAGTTCATGGATGAAGCAGAGCCTGTTGGGAAGAAGGCAGTGTGTCTTGTCTGTCCTTCTGTGCAGCACTGACCTGCTGGGGTTCTGCAAACTTGTCAGTCAGGTGTGTGGACAGAGGGGATCCTGTGGATGTCACATATTCACATTTTCAGTAAAATCAGACTCAGTGTTAGTCAGCAGTGTGCCCTGTTAGCTGAGAGGGGTGCATTAAACAGCAGCTGTCAGTGTGCCAGGAGGTGCATTATGTCTCAGTTGCACCATTTGTCCATTTGAAATAGGCATGTAGGAAAACATCTATTTGGAATATGTGCTTACATCAATTAAAAATGTATTCTCTGTTTACTCTGTCTCTCTAGTTCTCTAAGCCATTGTCCAATACCATTGGGCTTTCCCTTCTACTGCACCATCTCTTTTATGACTGCAATAGTATCTTTTCATTGTGGTAAAAAATGTGCAATTCCACTAAAACATTTTATCTACCTGCTAGAGGGTGTTGCAAAGCCTAAACTTTTTCTGTGCTCCATTACCCTGTATGTGTGAACAATTTAGGATGTTGGGCAGTAACGAAGTTCCACAGTGCCTGTGCATGAAAGAAAACTCCTATGCTGCTTTTTTAAAAAAAAAATCTTTCTCCAAAGCATCTCCTGTTAGGATGGTATTTTCCTTCTCCAGTTTAGTGTTCTGCATCCTAAGGGCAGAGTTTTACTCTCAGATAAAACCAGATGGTTGTTTTGATGAGTTAGAGAAAACAGTGCAGTAGCAGCACATCTCTGCCTCATACATGTAGGGGGTTTTGCAGTTTTTTTGCTGACACAAAAAGCAAGGCCCAGCTTTCTCACAGAATTTGTCATGGTACAAATTCAGCTCGTCAGAATGTTCTACAATGACATTTAGCTCTTAAAGCCTGCTCATACATCAGGAAAAGAAAATTACCCAAAGCCATGCTAAATTAAGGGTGACTGAGAGGTTTTTAACATCTCATGCTAAGAATGGAGGTATAATTAACAAAATACCTTCAATCCTCTGGAAGGTGTGACAAAATCACCATAAAGAAGCAGTTTTTTAAGTTACTTGCACTTTCTCAAAACAGTATTTTCATGAATTTCTTTTCCTTAGACCACCTTTCATGGCACATTTTAAAAACCAGAAGAAATTCCAAACCAAATTGTCCATATGTTGACATTAAAAAGTCATTTCCATACTTGGATTCCAGTGCATGTCATGTCCCTATCTCATTTTGAACCTGATCTTGCTCCTCCTCTATGTTATGGCAGGACATTGAGTTTAGTGAGGGCAGCATTTGTTGCAAATGTTTATGTATCCTCAAGCAGTGTGTAAAGACTATTGAAATGCCAGAAGACCTCACTAAGAGAGCTATGAAACTGCAAAAAGTGAAGTAATTACTCTTATTGCTTAAAGCTTGTTCATCCTATTAATCCGCTGTGATAGAACTGGTCAATTTAAGTAAAATAGGTCAGGTTTCCCTCCTGACTGATGCAATCCATATAGTATTTCTGTGGCTAGACTTCAGCCTTCAGTTAAGCCTCTGCTTGTCTTAGTATAGCTTTTCCAGAAATTATATGTCCTTCAGAATATATTATTGTCCTAGTCCTTATTTTGCATCTCTGAAAGTCACTTCAACTTGTCGCTGTCAGCTGTGGGAGTGGAAGCATCAAAGTCTTTAATTCTGTGGTCACTTTCTGACTGCATTTAAGGAGAGTCAGAATGTGACCAGAGGCATTTAATGATCAAATTTTCAGTGGTTTGAAAACTATTACTGGGCTTAAATAACAAAATAATAGTGTAATTCCAATTTATGCTCTTAACAAATTTTGAAAAAAATTGAAATAGATGTGTTTAACTCGAGGCTTTAATGGGGTATTTCTAAACAAAGGCTTTGGAATATTGAGTTGTTATTAAGTATCATTTTCAACATTCTTGACTGTTAATTTGGGACTGTTTATTTTAGCAAAAACAGGTTGGTCGCTCACCTGGGGTAAGCAGTATAGAACACCAGCAAGAGATCACTAAATTAAAGGCAGACCTGGAAAAGAAGAGTGTTTTCTATGAAGAGGAGCTATCTAAACGTGAAATGATGCATGCTAATGAAATAAAAAGTCTGAAGAAGGAACTGCGGGATGCAGAGAGCCAGCAGCTTGCCCTCAAGAAGGAGATCATGGTTTTGAAAGACAAGTTAGAGAAAACCAGAAGAGAAAAGTGAGTGTTGTATGAAATTTACCTTTTCTTAACCCTTTGAAGTTTCCTAGTATTGTTCCAAACGCTCTGTCACTTCCTTAAGTGTAATGCAGATTGCTGCATTTTGGCTGAGCTGATACGAGGGTTAAAACCAGTCACCTTTAAAAGCAGAACAGAACAAAAAACTCCACATCCTTATACTGAAACAGACTGAAACAGTTAATTTTGCACCAGAACTGTTTTAGTGGCTGACCATTCCAAGGTATGTAACTTGAGTTACAGACTTGCAGCTCGGGGTAAGTTGACCCCTGAAGCTTATGTTGCACTTTAAAACAGTTTTTCGACATTCTTCTTTTATTTGGTATTTTCAACTTTTGATGCAAAACTTATGTGTTAGAGATCAAGTATTGTTTACATTTCTGCCAGCACAGGAACAATCACTTAATGTGAGCTGAGGCTAATCCATGCTGGGTTCCATCCAGTGTTAACATCAGTCAGCAGACTACTGTGGGCGTAAGCTGCTTTATCTCTCCTGACATGGTAATTTGTCAGATCTGCTTTTTTCTCTCCCACATGGTGGAGCTTATAACTGGCCTTGAGATTGTTCCTTGAGGCATTCATCAATAAAAGCAAGTTTTTCTGTTGGATGGTGTAGTAGTGGGAATAAGTTATAAATTGAACATGCTCATGTTCATTCATAAAAAATTCACAATGCTTCATAGACACTAATACAGATGAGTCTTTTTGCTGCTGTAGCAAGATGGCAGATGAGTGAAACCATGGAGGAGTCCCTGCTGAGAGCTTAGCCAAACTATAGCAAGACCTTTAAATATAAGTAGTAAACGAAATACAATTTTTTTCCAAAAAGTTTATGCAAATAGAGATGGAAACACTGTACCTCTACAGTGAATTGTATTCAGCAGGGAACATGGATCATACAGCTTAGAATGCAGTGCATGAACTGTTTCTTCCTAGCATGCAGCTGTTCAATAGGCTGGACCTACTAACAGCACAGGAGTTTGCTGCTTTGATCTGGGTGGAGAGGTGAAACCTGCCTCAGCAGCATGTTTTCATTGTGACACGACTTAATGGCCATGCTGACCAATGAGTTACAAATGCACAAAAGGCTGTTCTGTCTTGTAATATATAAAGGTGATGGTATGGCACTCTTAAGTCCAGCAGTGTTTCAGAAGGAGGAATATTAAATAAAGAATCATGAATACTGCTTTCTGCAGGTTAAACTGTTTGTGAGGATCATACCTCTAAGCAGTGACCAAATGAAAAACTCCTTCTTTGCCAATTCTAATGTTGCACAGCTGCAGGCATTCTAACTAATGTCCATTCTAGCTAGTCCATAAACTCTCCTTCAGTCTGGTCTCTATAAATAAAAAAAGAGCTGGGTACAAATCTACAGTGGGTGCTGTCATAACCATGTGTTTCTGTATGTGGTTCAAGTGTCTGTGTAAGAGAAGGTTTTGAAGTGTGAGCAGAAATGTGTCACCTCACCAGTATCCAGCACCTGGCTCCTGGTGGCAAGCACCGTGCTCAGTCAGGCGTCCAAGCACACGATCAGTGCTTGGGGAGAAGGTTTTGAAGTGTGAGCAGAAATGTGTCACCTCACCAGTATCCAGCACTTGGCTCCTGGTGGCAAGGGCTACAGCACCGTGTTCAGTCAGGTGTCCAAGCACACGATCAGTGCTTGGGAAGGGCCTGGTCTTACCTGGCTTTTGTTAAACAAATCTGCAGAATCTCATGCAAGCATTAGGACTCCAGAGAAAGGCAGAAGTCCACTGTTCAAGTTATGCTGTGGTTTGACTTCTGCAGTTTAGAAGGGAAGCTTAAGCATTAGGAATGCAGGAGTTGCTGTTGCTACTCAATATTTGGTAGTTTTCCTTAACAGAACGTAGGTTTTCTGTTTCTGCTTATCCATGTTGGTGTTAGCTTTTGTAGTCTGGCATGAAAAGCTTTTTGTGAGTCTTCCAGTAGAGAGGTGCTGAATGTAAGCACTGAAAAGGAAGCACCTGGAGGCTTTGTGCTGAAATAAGTGGAATTATTTCAACAATAGGCTTGGGGTGGGTGTGGAGTTGAAGTGTGCTTACACAGTTTGGCAAAAATATTTTAGTCATCTAAAAATAATCTTCAGTGCATATTAAAAAAGATCTTGGTAAGAGGATGTGGTTGTATTACTGTGTAAGATGAGTGAATTGCATAGGTTATTCTAAGCAAGGATCAGTAAGAGCTTTGACAAAATCTGTATGTCAATTTTTTGTGTAACTTGCATATTGGTCGTTTCTGTTTTGCATTTTTAAAATAGATATTTTTCTTTGTTTCCTTCAATTTTAAGCTTTCTAACTTTTGCTATTTCCAAAGCACAAGTCTTCAAGGGAGATTACCTTCCTGTACAAAATGATTGCATTTTGCTGAAGTCTCATAAACTGCATGCTATTAAAGTTGAAGCAGAGGAGCATAGTATCAGGCCAGTGATCTGTGTAGCACTGAATTCCATTTCTTAGAATTGTCATTAAGAAGTATTTCAGAAGATGCAAGAAACTGTGTAAAATAAATCACATTTGTAGAAACTTCTTTTAGGCCCGTCACTTCATGATGGATTTATAAAGCAGAGAGCTTTATAGAACAGCATTTGCTGTTTTTAAATGGTGTGATATAAAGAAGCCTGGGGGCTGGTGTTTGTTTCAGGTCTATTTTTCTTGGTTTCAAAGCAGTAAGATAAAATATTTGGTCACTTCGTACAGATGCAATAAAGAGCTGGAGTGACAAAGTGATACCATAAAGCAGTATTTCACATTGCTTGCATGTGGTTTGCTGCAGTTTCACTGATAAAAAGAAAACTGGGCTGTGTATATTTTCTTAACTTGAAGAGGAGACACATAGCTAAACGTTAGATGAGAGAGGAAGTTTGATGGGAGAGGAGGATGCCAGGCTTCAAAGCAAAAGCATTATTTTGATCTTGCTGCCTGTCCAAGGTACATCCATGGAGTCTGTCACAGTTCTGTTGTTTGCTGAGTCGCTGTTTGGGTCTGATGGATTATAGCCACATTCTCCTCTGTTTCAAATTTATCATTTCTGTATTATACTGTAGCAATCTGACTTACTGGGGTGATCACAATCATCAGCTGAATTAAGAATGTAAAATATAGAAAATTACAAACATGTTGGGCTCTTTCACTAATCCATAGCATCCTTAATCCACTACCATTTATGGCTGCTTTGAGCCATAAAGCCTTAAAGGAATAAATTTAAGACAAATACTGAAAACAATTCCCAAACAAACCCGTGAAAGCTGTGTAAAAGAAATTCATTAAAAGTTAGTTTGTCTGCAAAATTAGCTTTGAATCCACGCCTTGAAAACAGAAGCAGGAGCTGTTATTAATTCCTATGACAGCCAGTGCTTTAATCTCTTCCTGCCTTTTCCCTATACTGCTCATCATATGCATGGAATCTGTTGATATAGAAAAGGAGTGGTGGTGAATTTCAAACTTGGCATTTAAACAGTGAGATAGTATGTAACTTTACTAGGATGAAGTGTTAGGTTTCAAAGGACGCCTGGCAACGTAGAATTTCACCATAAGTCTGACATGTTGTACTAGATTTCAAAGAGTGGTTGAAGCACTAAATGAATTTCAAATTAAGAGTAGGAAATTCAAAGCAGCATTGCTCTTAACTGGGTTCACTGTAACCACTGGTATTTCTCATCTTTGGAGAGTGTTCTCTCAGGCAAAGCTGTAGTAGTTTTGTGTCTCAGAAAAAGAAGCAAGAATGTAATTTTGCGTTTGCATTGTGTAAAATTCTGATCGGTATCTAGGAAAAAGATTGCACTGCTCAAGACAGGGTTTCTCCTGGATTTTAATTTTACAGAGTTAACCTTTAATACTGGGCACTTTTTCAAGTCTTTTCAGACTGGACAGTGCTATTTGCTGAGTGGATATTTTCTGTATCTGTGGCATTTATAGTATAGTATAGCATAGTATCAACCTACTGATGAACTTTGTGCCAGTGACCTGAATAGTTGGTAAAAAGGTGATACAAGATGTAAGGCTAGTGAATCTGAAAACAGTAGATGCAAGGTGGGAATTACACATCTAAAACATTGCTGTGCACCACTTGAAGGAAATTCCATGGGTTCTTTGGCAAACAGAGGGCCTGTACCTTTGTTTGTTTTTAGGTTCTCACATTCATTGTGCAAGATCAAAGTTGATATTAAGCAGAATCAGCCAGGGGTTCTCCTCTGCTGGATGACATCCATGGGAGAAGGGAAGGTTTGGGGGAGACAGCTGCTGTGAGACTTTCTCAGAAAGAATGGTCCGAACTTGCTGTAGAATCTGGTGATGTTAGGAATGTGGAAGTTATCCGTCCACTTTTTGCTCATAGTGAGTATATGATACCTGAAGTAACAGTTCACATACGACTTCTGGGCTGTTCTAAATTGCCCGAAGACTAGCCCATATATGCTTTTCTCATCGGAGACCCAGCCCTGAGTGCTCTAATTTAGCTTCTGTATGCTCTGGTTCCATGTGTGGTCATTTTTGCCTGTCATTCTGTGTGAAACTTGGAATTACAGAAATGTGTGTGTTACAATAAAGTTCATGTGAGCTGAGAATGTGCCCTGAGCATTTTACAATGTCGACACATACTTTGGTCTGCTCATTGTTTAAAGGATACATCTGAAGAATAAAATTTATGTAAGTGGGTTGATAAACATTGGCTTGGTGGAGCTGTGTTAATTCTGTACTGAGGGATTCTGTACTAACTGTAAAATTCAACAGGCTGGCTTGCAGTCCTAAGATGGTGTATTAAATGGCTTGATTTTAATTGCCTGTGGTATTATCAATGTAGTACTTCCCTTCATCATGTGTGTGCACTGATCTCTTTGTGTTTAAGTGAATGATGGGGTGAGTTAGAGTAGAAAACTTTGTAATTCTGCTTCACTTTGTTTCTTAGCCAAAGTGAAAGAGAGGAATTTGAAACAGAGTTCAAACAAAAGTATGAACGAGAAAAGATTCTGCTGACAGAGGAAAACAAAAAACTTACAAATGAACTTGATAAGGTAAGTGCTGATTGGTTGAGCTCTGAATTTACAACTGTTGTATGCTATGTACAAAGTGGACAATATGGAGCTGCATTGGTTATTACTAACTCTTAACTGAAAGCAGAAATTAATGTTGCACAAAAAATTGGTGATTAATGTTAGATTTGAATGGAGTATCTACATGCATCTGAACTTGAGAAGGCATGTGCATATATATATATATATATATATGAGTATTTATGCGTGGGAATGGAATTAGATGGTCTTAGATTTTGGTAAGATTAATTCTAGACAGCACCGTAAGCCAACAATAAAGGATTATTTCATTGTGTGACCCAAATATAAAAATACATCGTTAATGATGTGATTACTTAGAGTACATTTGCATGTCAATCGTTTGAAATACCAGGGCCCCTCCTACCCTTTGAGATTAAGTGTTACTTTGAGATCCTAAAAAAACACAAATGATAAGGCATATTAACTGAAGTGTGTTAAGCAAGAAATAATTACGATTTGTGCATTTGGATTGTCTCTTTATTGTTCATTTTGACAGGTTATTCAAGTTCATTGTTCATTATCCAAGTCTTGCTAAACTTGTCTATTCCTTTTGTAATGCATTAGATTTTCTAAAAATATGATGAAAGTACAGTGTTCTTCAAAGTAAGCATGTTTGCATGTCTGTGCTCAAATTACAGTATATTTTCATACCAGTATAAGACAGACAATATATATGCCTATAGGTAGGCTTAGTCCAAGAACACTAAGAAAAAGCATAGTCACTTTGATAGTTTTTCTGCTCTCTCTCTTCCCCCATTACCTTTGTATTTTTCTTGTCAAATGACATATAATAAGTAGGAATATTTAAATTATAAGCCCATTTAAATGATAAATAGGGTGTGGAGTTATTAATATTTGGAGTAAAAAGCAAAATAGATTTTAAATTGGGCATTCTTTTGTCGTTTTGAATTGTTAATATATTTCAGTACTAAAAGAAGCTTTCACCTGGGATTTCATTCTCCTAAGCAGACCTTCCTATAAAGTCTATCTGGTCTCTGATTCCAAATTGACTCTCTGAATAATTACTTAACATAATGAAGGTTTAGTTCCCAATACCAGCTTGGGTTAGCTGTGGCTTTTGTCTTGCAGAATGTGCCTGTATGAATGGCAGCAATTTGAATGAGAGAGGTTAATTGCTAGGTATAACATATTGTATGTGGAGATGTGCATTTAATTTCAATTTCCCTGTCTGCTAGTAAGTCAAATGAAAAATAAGGGAACGTGAGACACCTGGAGAATCTCAGGACTGTCTCATGCCTGTATCTGTTCAGTCTCTTTCTCCATGGTTACTAAACAAGGGAGAGGTTCAACTGTTTTATCTGAGCCATAACAATTCTTATGCATTTGCTTTGCTCTTCTAGTGTAGATTTTTCTATACAGAACATTCCACACCTATATGGTGCAAAGCAGAAACCTTCTAAGACTTTTACAGGTATTAGGAGACTAATTCTCAGAAAACTCATTAAATTGATAGAGTAAAAATGTTGTTCAAGTCCTTAAAAGTGGCTTTTCAGTACAGCTAAGGTTATACAAGAAGAGATTGTTATATAAGTTTATGTAAGAAGATATTCTGGCTTTTTTTGTTACGTGGTGTTTATTGTGATGACCAGTACCAATTCCTAAAGCACAGATGCAAGGTGTGAGAGAGGGGAACACATGGTTTTGAGTCTGCACAGAGATGGAGTCAGAGCAGTTTATACTTTTAACGAGTTGTTTAAATTCTCCTTCAGCTCACCACCATGTTTGAGAGGCTGAGCATGAATAATCGGCAGCTGGAGGAAGAGATGAGAGACCTGGCTGATAAGAAGGAGTCTGTGGCTCACTGGGAGGCCCAAATCACTGAGATCATCCAGTGGTGAGTGCTCTGCTCTCATGGCATGACAGAAACCCCTCAGTATGTGGTGGGGCTGGTGCTGAGTTTTTGTCTTTGCACATGGCACTTGGAAGTGCTGAGGTGAAACCTCACACCCGTCTGGGATTCTGCTGGGGTTTTGGCTGAGATTTTAATAATGCACAAATCCCGAAAATTGTGTTCCTCCTTAAGAGTGAAAGTGTCTCGCCAAATAGAGCTTTTCAAAGTGCAGAAGAATCATGGCCTTTGGGTGTGGCTTGTGGCTGTGGAAGAATGCTGAAAGGAATCATGTGCTGAGCTCACGCCTCCGAGAGGGAGCAAGGCTGGGAAAAGCAGTGGCTGAGTGTTTGTGTCTCAGCTTTAATTTCCTTCGTCTGCTTGGCATGTGGCAGAATGAAACAAATACAGTGCAACTTTTATGTGATTTTTTTACAAGGAGAGTATTTGAGACTGTACCACAAATCCAGTCAAGTGATGTTTCTAATGGTACTTTTGCTAAATAATGATGCTATCTATTGGACAGTGTCTTCTGTCCAATTCTGTTAAATGAAAGAGAAGGAAAAAAAGGTTGAAACTACTAAGAGAAAAAGATTGTGTATGCTGAGTTTTTAATCTATTTTTATTTTTCCTCTTCATGCCTGCTTATCTCCCCTCACCTTTAATGATCCATTGCAGTGTTTCACATCTACAAAACCAGTTTACATTCAGACATTTTATTTTACAGATCATCCACTTCTAGGAAGATTTCATCATGATAAACTAGTGTTTTTCTGTTACTGATTGGTTATTCCCTCCCCCTGTTTTTCCTGTCTCATGTTAGTGAAAAAAATCTAATTTGTTGTGTCCAGGCAAAAATGGGAAACATTGTTTTAGAGAAAACTAGTTTGGTATTGTCCTGTTACTTCAGATTTGTTCTCCAGATATAGAGAAGTTTGGCTTTTCAAGAGTGCCATATAAATATATAACAAGGCAAAAGGGCCATCCTCTGGGTTTCCAGTGTGTTTTAAACAATGTTTGTTGTATAAAAGTATGTAATGCTGATCTGTGTTACGAAGTCCAGTTTGTCTCAAGGCATTGTATTTGTGGCAGAAGTTAAAAAATGTAAAGGGTCCACTTTGTGCGTGTTTCTTTTAAATGTTGTGTCTTATAACGTTGATAGTAGTGGACAACTCGAGTAACAAAAATTAAAAAAAAATATTTAACTGGTAGTTAAAACAGGTTTTAATTTCTGGCTAGCTGGAAACGTTTATTCAGGAAAAAAAAGGTAACAAGTGAGACAAGTCTATATATAATTTCACATTCCTTATTGCTTTAAGGTAGTGCTTATGTGTCACATTGCACCTAGGTAATCAAACACAATTTTTCAGATTTACATGTGAAAACACTCATATAACTTGGCAGTTGTAGGAAAAGACAAATCAGAATTAATTGCGGATTGTTCCACTTAATACAATGTAAAAATGTACCAACAGCCATTACGAATGTACCTTCTCCTTTACTTTATGAGAGTGTTTAATATTTTAAGATGTATTACTGATGTGGTTCAGGGAAATGATAAAGCATTTTTCATGTTAAGGATGTCATTGTAAAGGGTAAAAAGGTTTGGGCTTCAGTTTTTTATTATCTCTGAAGAAACATACAAGACTTAACTTTCTGAATGACAAACATCATTTTACTGATCCCTTATGATAACGTAGTGTCTTCTAAATAGTACAGAACTAAAAATTAAAGAATTATGTGAAAAGGAAGAAATAGAAGTACTGGGGGCAAACATTAAGGGAATTTTAAAAGTCTGGCTTGGTTCTAGTTTTTCATCACTAAACACATCTCAATTTTCCCTCCATACTTTTCTCTGCTTATGTTAAATTTTTTTCAGCTATGGGAGGCCTTATCTTAGGTCACATTTTTTCCTTGTTATGTTTAGATTTTTCCATGTGTTACTCAGATAATCTGGTCATGTCCATCTGCTGTTCTTAGAATTCAGCACTGAGACTAGGCCCTTCTCTGGGGAACATGGCTGCTATATGAAGTATTTAAGCATCTATTACTCTGACATGTGCATATATAAAAAACAAAACAAAAAAAAAAACAAACAAACAAAAAAAAAAAACCCTAACTAATTTTGGAGAAAACTAGTTTTATTTAATCAGTCACAAGCCTGTGTTTTCCTCAGAAGAACATGCAGTACAAGTCTGTACCTGTCCACATCTTCAGTGTGACCATGGAATGCCTCGGAGCTAGCAAAGTAGGGGAGAATTTGTGGGCTCCCTCTTCAAAACTTTACAGATTTCTCACACAATATTGCATTAAAATATGTATTTTGGGTGCATTATTTCTACCTCCTAAAAACTGCCATGTTCTTAGTGTACCATGATCCAGAATGGATAGGAGGCAGTAGAAGGAATTAGTTCCTGGGTTTGTGAACAGCTTGCTCAGCAGCCTGTAGTAGTTCAAGGGATTGTTTTAGCCCTGTTTGGGGTAACTCAAGCCCAAGAAATCCCTAAATTCTTTTAAGTGCTTTGTCATCTAAAGCACACCTCTCAAGAAATTACTTTGAATTCACACTTTGGATGGTTAAGATTTGTCACTTTGTTCATGATTTCTGGGGCCCTTCTAAATTGCTATTTCTTTCAGATTTTATAACTTGTGAGTAATTTTAATGGCTTATCACATTCCCTTTAGCTTTTCCCTCCTTTCTTAGACTGCTTTATTGCATCTTTAGGAATAATGTATGAAAACCTTTTAATCTTGCTATTGCTATCTCAAGATACCATAAACAAGGCAATACTTTAATATAAACACTTGAATCAGACTTTCACTGCAAATTCTATTGTGGACTCAACAGACCCTCACGGGTCATTCAGCCTTAATGGAGCTATTATATTGACGAGTTTATATTAGCCAAATCACTCATCATTCCTTGACAAGAGTAAGAAATATGGAGGCTTTTATAGTGGGCTATAAATTTTCCTGTGGGAGATGGGAAAGAGATTAATTGCACTGGAGGTTAATGCAGTCACTTGAAAAGGGAATATTTTAAATAGCCCTGGTACTGTATTTCTGTGCTGTGCAGAAAGGAGGTGGCTGGAAATCTTGGTAGTGATTCCCAGCGTACTTGGCAAGAATCTTGACTTGGGAGGGATTAATCTAACCTCGTTGTAGAAGTGCTAAGGTAGACAACTCAATAAATCCCATGACTAGTACTCTAGAAGTCTGGTTTTCTCACCACAGGTTGAAAAAGAAAACTACACAACTCATATCAGATGGATAATTCTGTGTTGTTGATTATGTGGATGAGCTGAATCCTACCAGTTTTACCTTTAGAGTGGATGTTAGGCTTAGATTCAGCTGCCCAGAAGCTGTAACAGTTTTTTGCCACAATATTTAGTTAATATTTTCCTTATCAGCCAGATTTTTTGCGCTATTGTTGGTTTTATCTTAATTGATCTCATTGAAAAAAATCCCAACACAAAACCACCACCAAAAGGAAAAAAAAAGTTCCAGCTACTCCCTCCCAAAACTTCTAAACTAAATCAAACCTAAAATGGCCCTGAGATTTGGGTTGGGGTTTGTTTTAAAATCTGTGATTTTTTGCGCTATTGTTGGTTTTATCTTAATTGATCTCATTGAAAAAAATCCCAACACAAAACCACCACCAAAAGGAAAAAAAAAAAGTTCCAGCTACTCCCTCCCAACACTTCTAAACTAAATCAAACCTAAAAAGGCCCTGAGATTTGGGTTGGTGGTTTTTTGGTTGTTTTAAAATCTGTTTCATCTTCAACTGTTAAGAAACTCAAAGCATGTAAAATTCTCAGATGTGCTGTGTTTGAGGTAAGGATAATCAGAAATGAATTAACTCTAAAATAGAACTTCTGGAAGGCAGGGTGACATTTCAGGGCTTGGGAGCAGAGGGAAGTGTTAAAAATTTTTAGAGAAGTATTTTTAAAAAACAGATTTTATTGGAGACACCAGAGGAAAAATTAAAAATTAAGTCAGAGACCTTGAGTATACTGGTACAACAACAGAAATTTAAAAGCATTGAGAGACTAGAGGAGTCATGACCGTCAGATTTCCTTGGGGTTTTTAAATCAGGTCAAACAGAGCTTGGTGTAAGACACCAGGGCTTTAAGACCACTTCTGTTGAGCAGAATTCTTTAGTCCTCTGGGTCCACTTTGTATTGTAAAGTATCCCAGCTGGAGACCCAGTCTGACTTCCTGAGCATCCTGACAAACACCATGCAGGTAGCAGCCAGTGGTTATTTGACAGTTGTCGTGATGTTGGCTCCAGCCAAAAAGTTAAACTTAATTGCTTAAAATATTGCTCTTTTGGGTTCTTTGCATTAAGTAACTCAATTTGCAAGGGCAATTATATTGAAAACAGAACAGTTAATCCAAATTTTCAGTAAAGAATTAAGTGGCTGGGTGGAACCTGAAGAACTTTTCTTCCTTTGGTCTCTTGCTGTGCTTGTCAGGGCTCTCTGTCAAAATGAGGACCAGCAGTGCAACATCAGTAAGAGTTAATTTGCCATTCTTGCACTTTTTAACTTTAATTTTAGTTTTTAAAGCCTACCAAATGGAACAACCCCAGCAAAACAGTAACAAATAAAAAAGTTCCAAGAGCTCTTGGGCCCACATAATGTTTAATAATGTATGCCATTATTGAGAGAATTTTGCCATCTAGTGGACAACAAAACCACCTCAGTTCCCAATTGTACTGCTTTAATTTGTTGTCTTTCAGAGCTTGAGGAGTTCCCTTGAACTCAGTACAGATATTTGTAAATATTTACTTTGTTTTCATTTTCTAGATTTCTGCTTGTCTGTGGAGCATCTTTTTGAGGTTTTTTTCATGTGCAGATTTCAGCATTTGGAGCCTGAGGGTTCTGTGCACCATAAACCAAATAACTGAAGTGTTTCCTCACCTTCCATCAGGAAGGATCTGTGTGACACCATAAAATTGGACATAGAAATTGGACTTTTTTTTCCTGCAAAGATTTTATGTGTCATTAAAAATAGAGAAAATTAGATGCTGATTCCTAAATCTCTTTCCCTCCTCATACATCAGGAAAACTTACTCTTACCTTGAGAGCCTCACATTCTTTTTATTTCTGCTTAAACTTTTTCCTTTTTACAGTGTATTTAATTATGCACCCACTACCTCCGAAAAGCATCTTTAGGTAGTTCTCACATCTTTTGCCTACTGTTACAGCCTTGAGTGGTTTGTGTAGTCTCAGATTATCAGGTTGTCAAAATGTGTCATCCAGAATGTTATGGGAAAAGAAGTTGGTATGCAACTTCCACTGAGTTCTGATATACCTTGGGAAAAACAGTGACTCATTAATATAAAAACTCTCACTGACTTTTAGTAGTCAGGACATGTAGGTTTTCTCTAGATTCCTCCCCACCTCTAAATTATAAGCAGGAGACAAAGAAAAGAAGGCCCAGTAAATGCCTGTGTTTTCATTTCGGGTGTGAGATTTGTGGAAAATGGTTGCTAATTTTGCTTTTGGCTCCTCTGTATTACAGTAGTCTGTCTTCCTTAAATAAACCTTAAACTGCACACCCAAAAGTCACCACAACCTGCAGATATTTAGCCCGTGGCTTTCATGGTGTGGGCTTGTCCTAAGGTCACTGTGGGAAAGCTCTTCAGTTCCTTCCTTGCCCTTGAGGGTTCAGGACAGTGCTCCCTGTCTTCCTTGCCTCCTGGCAACTATCTGTAAATCTGTGTTGAAACTTTTATAATTAATGGTAAACTTGCAAGCAGCAGCATTTCCATGTTCTGTGTGTGTATGAACCCTGTAGTATCAACCAGAAAATACTTCCATTGCCTTCTAGGCACAAAGGGGGAATCACTTCCTGCTGGAAGGTCGCTGCAAGGCACAACCAACCATCTGGAGCACTCTCATCTCCAGTCAACAGACTTAGGGTTAGAGTTACTTTTGAAGATCAGGAAGCAAGGATAAGTTAATTCTCATGAAACAGAAAAAATATGTTCCCACTTCCCTGTGTTTTATTTAAAGCTATTTGAGGTTCAGTTCTTTGAGCTGGTCCTAAAAGTTTCAGTGTTTGGTGTTGATAAGACTGAACTGTGATCAAGCTGTGGTATTGCCCTGCTGGTCTCTGAGGCAGCTCAGGAACTTGCATAAGGCCTGGTGTTGCAGAACTGGGATTGCTCTTCTGTGGGCAAAATGAACATGCTTAGAGCCAGGCATGTAAGGAAATGAGGTGGGAGGTATGGTGTTGCTTCTGGGTTTTTTTCTGTTTGTTTGTTTTAGGTTTTTCGTAAGTTACTTAGTTTCAGTGAGTTAATTTTTTTAGCAACTTTCTATGTTAACACCTGAGGCAAAGTGAAGAAAGAACCTTCTGTTGTGATTAATCACAGAAAGTTGTTGTTCTTTCTTTGTAACTGATGATCAAAGAATCTGAAAAACAGGCATGTCTCCTCCTTGTTGTCTTTACACTCAGAAAACATGTCTGGATAGAAAACAAGCTCAGTGGATGAGAGAGCCTCTTCTGGCTTATGCTGTTTAATAATATTAAAAGTAGACTCTCCCTGTTTAATTAGCACTTCTTGAAGTAACATCACTGTTCAACTACTAGTTCTCATAGTCAATTGGTACAGTAAAGTTAACCACGAGTTCCAGTATTATCTGGACAGTTGAATTGTTAATTATTGGTTGTGAATTTTGTCTTAATTTACTCCCTAAAAATAGATTGAAAGATTTCTTTCTCACAGTCTCAATTTCAGGTAGTTGATATCTGATACTTCAGTTTTCAGCCTTTGTCTTAGTGATGCATATTGTTTAATGGAACTTCACAAAGCAGCAAAAAATCGGTTCTGTGTGATTTTCTGTTTGGGTTTTTGTTATTGTTGTTTTTATCCTTATGTTTTATGACTCTTTGTATTCTATATTTATCTGTTTCTGGTTGTTGGTTTGTTGAAAAGACTTCTGTTTTTTCTTTAGGTTCTTTCGTTAAAGCACCTTATTTTTTCTTATGTAATTGTTTAGGGTAAGTGATGAAAAAGATGCTCGAGGTTATCTTCAAGCCTTGGCCTCTAAAATGACAGAAGAGCTGGAAGCCCTGAGGAACTCCAGTTTGGGTGCAAGAGCTACAGTAAGATTTTAGTTCCATATGTCAGAAGGTTTTTGCTTGTAAAAAGCCACTGATTTGACAGTTTCAGCTGCAGAAATAATCTGTCTGTAGAGTCTATGTTAACTGAAAGTTAAACTTTCCTAGAGCTTCTGAATGACTGAATACCCAACTTATTGTTCGTTAATTAGTTAAACACCAATATCTTTATAATGTGATTTTATCTATGTTACAGTTGAAGTCGCTACTTTATAATCAGATATGAATTTGTTGAAGCAAATAATGTTTTTGTTCATGAAAACCTTCAGGTCTTTCACTTGTTAAACAAGTGAACACTTGGATGTCTTTCGTAGCTGACATCTCAATTTGTCATCTGAATTGAGGCACATCAAAACCAGATTTCAAAAAGTCCCTTTGCTTTTGAGACCAGCATAAAACATAAAATTTGTTACTTGAGTTCAGGAATACTACTGGTAACATTACTCTTAATTTTAGATTATTTTGTAATTAATGAACTCTTACAATAAGAACATAATAGACTGGGAAATGTAGTTTTTGAAGGTAGTTACATTCCTCATGTTCAACTTCCTTTCCTCTTACTCTTTCTAATCTCATTTGCTGATTCTTTCCTAGGACATGCCCTGGAAGATGAGGCGCTTTGCAAAGCTGGATATGTCTGCAAGGCTGGAGCTCCAGTCTGCTCTCGATGCTGAAATCCGAGCCAAACAGGCTATTCAGGATGAGCTGAACAAAGTCAAAGCCTCCTGTATCTCTACAGAGTGGTAAGACTGAATTGTTCTCATGCAAATTTACTTCAGTACCTCCCAGGAAATGTCATCAAATCATTATTTTATCTACCTCGTCTGTGGAAATTTGATCATGAATGATATGCCAGTTTCATACACCCAGATGGGGAAAAAACCCAACATCTCTCTTCATTGTTTGGACAGCTGAGCACTTCCTGGGGAAAACTCAGATCTTGAAGACTCTCAGAGGGAACATGTTCTCTTTTAATAGTATGATCTCTCCTAGTTGTGGTAACAAATCCAAATTCAAAGTTTGGGTTTGTGTCTTAGATACATTCTGTTCCGTTTTGCTGATAGCTGCACTGGGTTAGCTGACTAAAATTAATTATTGCATACTGATTTGCACAGTAAGAAGTAATGATGGTTAATGGACTATTATGAATTCTTTTATTCCTTCCTCAGACCTCTCTCTTTCTCACTTCTACCTCACCACTCCCACAACAGAATTTATTCTGAGTTGTGTAATGCCTGAAACAGGGGTAGGAAGTCATTCAATTTCTAGGTGTCCAGCTTCAGCTCAGAGCACTGCTGGGTTTTGCAGCTTTAGGAAAGCAGTAGGACAGAGCTGAGATTCAAGTGTGTTACCTGTAAAATGGGAACATCTGGTTCACCTACCTTGAATGTTTTTCAGGCCAGGTAATGTGATGACAGGCAGCATTGGAAATCCTATAAGAACAGGAAAACCAGTGTTTGCTTTGACAGGCAAGAATGAGAAATGTGCCAAAATTGCAGAGTAGAATTACCTCTCAGCTGTGAGTCAGAAAGCACTGAAATAACTAACTAAAGGAACTGAGAAAAACAATAGTTCAGCTGAATCTTTTACTATCACAGGTACTCAATTATCAAATAAATTTTAATGAAAAACAGGACTTTCTAAAACATAAAAATACATACAGTCTTTTTTTTCTCATTCACATGGACACAAGGTCATGCAATTACTTAAAAATTAGAAACATGAAAAATATGAACCTATTTAATAGATAAATGGCTTTTTTTCTGTAAACTAAACAGGTCCCAGTAGATTTATTCTGGTATTTGAAGACATCAGGAGCAAGAGTGACTTGTATCTTGGGTTCTTAATACTTACATACATTTTTTGTGTTCTTTTGAAGTAAATTGCAAGAATCTGAGAAGAAGAACCTGGAGCTTTTGGCAGACATCGAAAGGCTGAAAAAGGAGACAGAAGAGCTTAGATCAGAAAAGGGTATGGCAACTGATATCCAAGTAAATAGTGTGTCACATTGGTGGGTGCATCTTATCAATCAAGTGTCAATCAACCTTGAAACTAAAATATGATACCAGCATGTGGGCACAACACCTGTGTGTCAAGGTGTACCCACAGCAGTTGAATTTGCACTTCTGACACTTGTAATAGGCCTCAGTTTTGTTGGTACCTTTGAACCAGTAAGGTATAATTTGAATTGAAGCTGCATTGTTTTTATTTGGCCTGTGTGTAGTGTTTTACTGCCAGAAAACTGTTAGAATATAGATACATTTCTAACCTTTTCTCCTTTATGATGGGTGAAGGTATTTAGACATCAATACTGATCATAGTGTTGTTCATCTCCGAGTGTTTTGGGCCTGTCTACACAGAGAGTAAACAACTGCAGAGGAATTTGTAGCATTTGTTTGTTTCTGGGGTAACTCCATTGATGGGCTTTGCAGCCACATAGTGAGCACTGTGGTCATGAGTGCTTTGCTGTGGTATTCCGAGTATGTTCTGGGGTTACTGTTGCATCTGTCCAATACTATTTTGCATTGTTTTTGGGGGAAGAGACTTTTTTAGTGATTATGCATTGAAAAAAAAAAAAAATTCATTAAGAGTTGAATAATGATTTGGCTGATTCTTTGCAGTTTCTGTAGTAGCTCTAAAATTTGTGTCTTATGAGGCACATGGGAAGAAGTATTTTTCAGGCCAAATGGAATTACCTAATTTTCTGTAGTTCTGTGAACTGCAGAATTTAAATACCCTGGCAACAATTTCTGCACTGGGATGTCAAATCTTGTTCAGCTTTTCCAACTTAATGGCTGGTTGGTCAATACAATATTAGAGTTTACATTAATCTCCTATATACAGGCCTTCCAGTGCTGATTGACTGGTAAAAATAATTCAGACTATACAGAACATTAACAAATGGTGGTAGTTAGCAAATAAGACTTAGGGAATTGACATTCCCTCATCTTGATGCTTAGCACTGATACCAGGATTATGTTTCCTCCAAGTGCTTGGAGAGAAGCTCTTGATAGCATCTCCCTGGAGACAAAAGTACTTTGTCATGTTTAGGTTTCATTTATATGGTCTTGAACTTCCTTAAATATGATGCACAGTTACTTGACTTCTGAAATCTTCCTTTGTGTTAAATAATGTTGTGAATTTATAATTCGTATTTTGCCCTATATTTTTTCCAGTGTTTAAAACCTTATTGTTCTGGTGAAATAAACATTTGCTCTTTGCTGAAAACAAGCAAGCAAAAAAGTACTATTCAAGGAAACATAAGTCATGTTTCTTAACAGAATTATATTAGTAATATTCTGCTGCAATTATTCAAATAGTCTGATAGAAATACACCTTAATCTAAATTCTTACTACCTTTGATTTGGTTTTCTTTTAAAAGAAGAAATATATTGCTGTTTGAATTATGAACTGTATAGAAGTTTCGAATGTAGTCAGGGTACAGTGGTAGAGTAACTTGCAGTGTGTGGAAATTGATTTCTAGGAAGGGATTATTTGGATTAACACCTAATCCTTTCCTGTTTATAAGTATATTTCAGAAATTCAAACAGGTGGGGAAAAGATTGCTGAGAATATTCCATAAAGTGGGTGGTAGTTTGAAAATTTGTTTTAGTACATTACTGTGATTTCAGCGTATTTATATTTTAAAGAGGAATGTATTCTTTGTAACTTCATTCACTGTGGGTTATATTTAGAACGCATAGGGTGATATGGCTAATTAGAGCAAGACACTGACATTTTTAAAAAGAAACAGGTAACTTTTGGCAGCATTATTGTTTTGAGATGCAGTCCTGCACACTCTGGTCATAATAAATACATATATGTATGTATGTGCATATATAATGTATTTATAGCATTGAGAAGAATAGAGTTCATACACATCTGTGAAGTATAAAAACACACCCAGCAACTTGGATTGGAAAAGAAGAAGAAATAAAAAACACTAGTTGGAGCAGGTTAAAGTAAGAGCCGAGGTGTGGCAGCCCCTGCAGCCCCAGGGCACGCAGCGTTCCTGCTCCGCTCGCTGGCCGAGCATCCCTTCCGTGTGTGGTGTGACAGAAACGGCCAGAGCTTCCCCCAGGATTGTGCAGCTGCTGGGCACTCAGCAGGGAGAGGTGGCAGGCACAGAGCACGGCTCAAGGAGCCCATCTGGTTTGGAAATGCCGTGGTTTTGTTGGCTCCAGCTGTCCTGCCACGGTGGGAGATCCCAAGTGTCACCAGGGCAGGGGTGGCAGCTGCTGCATTAGTGTGTGGTGCACATGGACATGGGACACACCTTAGAAACCAGTGCCCTCTGCATGGGCACAGAGTTGTGTTTCCACGTGGAGCTCACACCACACACATCCTAGCTTGGGAAAGGTTGATTAAACACGTGCTGGTCCGTTAAAAAAATCATTTACTCTGGAAAATAAACCAAATGTGCAGCTTATTTCAAAACACGTAGGTGTTTCAGGTGGAAACACTCAAAATTCTGATTCAGCAAGGCAAAGGTCCTCCAGGAGAAGGTCATATTTTCTGTAGCTTATAAACCTGCTGCTGTTTTCTAGGTGTAAAGCACCAAGACTCACAGAATTCTTTCTTGGCATTTTTGAATGCGCCTACCTCTGCTCTGGATCAATTTGAAGTAAGTGCACAGCTATTCTAACTCGGTTAGTCAGTGGAACTGCTGTTGTGTGCAGGTCCTGTGCATATTTGCTGAGGGTTTGCTCTTGTATTTTAATTGTATTGCACCAATAATATTTGTGTATAATAATTGTTTATCGTTTGCAGTGCTGGGTATCTTCTCTTGAATGCTTGTAATCACAGTGAATTCTGTCTCAAACCTTGAATGCAGAAATCTGCCTGTTTTTGCAGTGAACATGAAAAGCATAGTTGTTCAAATGGCTTTTCTTTGTACTCAGAAAATGCTAAGTAATGCAGGCAGTGATTTGGTAAAAACAAGAAAATACTAAATCATCCTTGATTGTATCCCATGAAGTCATTAGTACTGTTTATTAGGTTGTTTTCATCATCTGTTGATTTTACACAGATCTGTAAAATCCAGATAATTGCTGTTCATTTCCTCTCCACAGATCCTTTTATTTAAAAAATGAATCTGTTTAATACCTTTGTCACTTCTAAACAAAAGACCAGAGTAGGTAGAAAGCCTGGTAGGAAAAAATTGAAACAATCCTATACATTTATTATCTTCTTTTCTAATCAACAGTAAGCAAAGCATCATCTTTCTTTTAAAAGAGCAGCTGAGGTGAAATATTGGTCAAACTGAATTCAGAGGATACGAGTCACCACCTTTACAGTTAGACATTAATCTAAAGTTTGCCCAGTTTTTCCTGATGCAAATACAGCATCATCATCACATCTAGCTATGACAGAGCATAATCCCTGCTGTTACTGATGTCCCAAAATTCTCTTTCTTTTCATTATGTATTCACTAATTCATTGTTCTTTCTTGAAGTCCTCACAATTAACATAGTTTTTAAATTTCCTTTGTAATAGTTTATCTTGTAAATTACTTTCAGTATAAGAATACTGTTGAGAGTATAACAATAATACTTTATTGAGTAAATGCTGTAAAAACACTGGTTTCTTTACAGATAGTACATTAATTAATTGTCTGAGAAAGGCAATTAATGAAAACTTACTGAGGTAACTATTACTGTCACTGGTTATTTACAGTTCTTTATTTTTGCACTTTTATTTATATTGAACAGTTTTCTTCATCCTTTTCTTTCTCTCTCTCTCTTTTTTTTACTGCTGTGTTCATTAAAATAGGATTCCTTTTCCTCCTCTTCATCCTCATTGATTGATTTTATGGATGACGTAAGTCTGACTTTCAACCCAGTAAATCCCTCAATAACAGATCAGTTGATTGATTTGGAATATTCAGACATTAATGCAGTCAACTTTAAAAATCTGCAGGTGCAGTGGAGAACAAAGTATTTCTGTAATAGAACTCTTACACCTATTTATATGGATAGGTGTTTTGTTTTGAAATAAATGGTTTTCTTTAGGTGTAGGTGAAGAATTCTGAATTGCAAACAGTTTCTATGATGAAGAAAAGCTGCTTTTAGGCCTTATGTCTGATATGGTCTGTGAAAAACAGTTCCAAAATCATCAGCACATTTATGTATTTAATTCTTTTGCTTCATATTATTCCTTCATCATGAGTTGTTTCCATAAGTTTTCTAATCACTTCTCTTAAAAAGTTTCCCTTCCATACAGTTAATTTCTGTGTGCTCAAATAAAATATTTTCTGGTTTTTAGCCTGCATTGTGAGAAGTCATTTTCATTATGACTGAAGTGAACTTACTACTTTTTATTGCCATTTGAAATGCAGGTTTTCTGTCAGGACTTCTAAATATTTAAACATTTAAACTGTTTAAATATTCCCACTAGTTAACTGCATTCTAAGGGAATTGAATTAAGAGCTAAGAATTGACTGCATTATATTTCTTCCAAATTGAAGTAGTAGGCCCATAAATGTAATTATTAATAAATTTTTTGAAATCCAGGTGTATAGAGCCCCATCCATTACAGCTCTGTAGGAATAATTGTGTGTGTGTCTGTCTGTGCTCGTAGATGTGTTTATACATATTTTACATACATGCATTCACACATATTTATACATATGTGTTTGTAACAGAGTGTAATCCCATTGGCATTGAAATTAGGTAAAATTAATATTGAGAAATGTCTGCTGTGGAGGGTGTAGCAAAGAGGATGAGGTATATGGGCCTTTTCTGCTGCTTTCATTTCCTTTTACATACTCTGAAAAAAATGCTTTTCTTCTGGATGCTTTTTCTCTGTAAATCAGGTTTACACCTCAGACAAAATCTGAAGGCTCATCTCTGGTGTCATAGTAGAAGGCACTTCCCTGCTTTTTTGTATAGCATACAGAAAGCTTCTGGCTTGCTGATACTGTTGGAATTTTCTTACACACACACCAAAAAAAAATAGAGAAAAAAAAAAAATAGGTACAGTTTCCTGTCATGTAAATCCACAAAAACAAATAATATTTATATTCTTTATCTGGATTAAAGAAAACATGTTCTGTGTTACCTGAGTATTAGGAACACTTTGTTTGTATCAGCAGGTTCTTGAACAGAAATTTATCTTTAAATATATCTGAAACACTCCCCTAAAACCTATTAAAAGAGGAATAAAAGATGTATGTGGTAGTTGCTGATAATGTTCTATTTTGCAAGGACATGGATATTTTCCTGGTTGCTCTCTAGTTAATTCTGAAGGACTTCAGTATTTTATTCCATAATTATTGTTGTTTGTTTTTTGGGTTTTTTGGGTTTTTTTGTTTTTTGTTTTTTTTTTCTTTGAGAAGGCAGCATTTTTTTTCCACAAGCATTTTGACAATTTTGTTTTTTTCTTTACGGAAATGAGTATTTTTCAACTGCTGGCATACATCCTTTCATAGCAATTCTTCTTGACTGGTCCACCCAGATCGGGTCTTTGCAGACCTTTTAGTCTTGGGTAGAGGTTCAGGTATTAATATTTATATTGTTTGCCTGTAGTTAGCTTCCTGCACATGGAGTCAAACTTCCTCTGTTCCATCTTCAATGTGAGTCCAACAGGAGTGGTTTTTTTCTCAGTTGCACTGGACAAAAGAAATCTCTGGGCTGGACTGGCCAGGGGCTCATGTCTCTAACTCCAAGGCAGAATTCTCTCTCATCTGACCAAACTGCAGAAAAAGTAGAGTTGGCTGCTCAAAGATAGGAAGAGCACCTTGTAGAGAAATGCAAGACATTCTGTCTTTGTTAGAAGGAGAGATAAAGCTGTTATCTGTGTTAGTAGATGAAAAGTAATGTCATTCAATTGTGCTGTGAAAGTCAGTTCTGCATCTTTGATTTATTGGACAATCACTCGATTCATTCATAGCATAATTTATAGGCTGAATTATCTAAATGAATGGTTATTCATGATTTAGCTCACTGAGTTGGTTTAGTATCAATATATTAGATGGACTTAAATTAAAATAAGGCTATTAAAACTCCCTGCCCACTGGATGTGACCTCCATTCCCATCTCAATGACTCTTTTTGGCAGTGGTTTCTTTGAAGGACAGCATTTCTTGCAGCATTTCCAGAAGAATTAACTTCTCAGTCAGACCTGAGAAGTCTTAAGGTTCATTGGGGTCTTTGTGTTATGACCAAGGAAGGATTAGAAGTGCTCAGGTCGGGCTGATGCAGTGCTGCAATATTGCATGGGGTTCAGGAAAGCCTCTCTTTTACTCAAGAACCCCAAGTAACTATTTCTGTTGGCCTGGATTGTTTCTTCAGACTCTGTGCCTCATTAAAGAAGGACATGGTGTGTGTGAAATAATGTGCAGATGCAGTTGCAAGGCACTCCTTGCAGGATCTCTGAAGTCTGTTCAGCACACAGATGTGCACACTGCACTGGGTTTCCTAGGGTGGGTATGTCTTGTGTGTCTGCCATCCAAATAACTCAGTCACTATTTATAGCACCCTCTGAATGACTGGAGTTAATTCTAATTTTTCCAATGAGGAAAACAGTAGTTTTGCAATTTCTTCTGGAGAGAAATAAAAATAGATGTCTTGCTGCCTCTGTAGCCTGCAGATGCTGAGGAGAAAGTGGTAGCTCACTACTCAGTGAGCTGATGAGCAGCACTCGCTGTTGGCTCCTGCCTGGAAAAGATGCTGGGTCAGGTTGGCAGAACTGGTGCCTAAATCCTCGTAGCTGTGACAGCTCACACATTCAGAAACAATCCTGCTGTGTCCTCTGCACACAGGGGAGGAGGGGTGTGTTTGCAGTCCCTGAATTCCAGTCTTGGTGGGGAGGGAAGTCACCCCCAGTGACTGTAAGAGACTAAACCCTGCTGCTGTCTCTCCTGTGTGTTGCAGGCTGTCTCAGTAACACTGTCTGGGTGTTAAGTCTCCTGTGCTCAGCAGAAGTGTCTGACAATGGAAATGTTGGGTTTTGTTTCTTTGCCAGGTGGATCTATGTGAATCCCACTAGCTGCAAGAAGCAATCAACTCGTTTCATTTAAGGATGAATTTGTGATTATTTCATAGCAATAAAATGGAATCCCATTTTCCCTTGACAAAATTATTTTTCCCTTACGCTCAAAAGTACTGCTTTTTGCCCTGTTGCTAACACATTAGAAATTAGAAGTAGATTTCTTAAGTCCTCCTGCAATCTGTCCTCACATGCAGTCCCCATGGGCTTTGGCTAGACTAAACAAATCTGAGCTCTGCAAGTAGCCACAGAATAATAAATGATGTTCTTAATTCTTATTATTGAACACAATAAGTCATATTGGTGTGTGGTGAGAGCCTTGACTTTACCTGCACATTCATAATTACGTTGAGTAAATCTGGTTCATAATGATACTTTAAATTGGACATACTGTGCCTCCAATAGATGACTTTATTAATCTTATTCAAAACACAGAGAGGCCAGCTGCAAATTAATGGTGCAGTGTAGTCTGCAGCTCCTGTGCTATTGTCCAGTGTAAGACTGTGGACTTGGAATAGCTGTTCCTTTTTTTATTTTTTTTTTAATGTTTCTTCCTTCTTGTTGGCCCAGAATAGCTTGTTTTTAAAATACTTGTAACAGTGAACACGCTTGTGTGTGTCTAAACACTACCTCTGGAGGTAACAGTGAGGAATTCTGAGGTGATGTATGTGTCACTGTTTGGTTTTGTAACATATTCTCCTCCTTTCTTTGTTAAAGCGCTCTCCTTCCTGTATTCCAGCTAACAAAGGCAGACGTGTAAGAGGCTGTCCTACTCTATGTGGCCCTTTATTTTTTGCCTGTTTTGTCCATGCCTATGTTTAATGTATGGATTGTGTATTTACAGAACTGCATGTCTTGTGCTGCTGCTGCTGCTGTTTGCTGCTGCTGCTGTGCTTTTTTGTTGTTTTACAGCTGTGGGCTCAAAGCTTTTGGACTATTTCATTTGGCAATCCTATGAGCAGAATATCTCTGAAACTGGAGAAGATGCTTTGGGTGCTTTCTCATTTCAGTGAACCCCATGAGCAGAATATCTCTGAAACTGGAGAAGATGCTTTGGGTACTTTCTGATTTTAATGTGAAAGTTCTATGTGGAAGTTGATCAGGCAGATGCAGGTTGGGAAGATGAGCAAACATCAAATAAGAGCCTGTTTGTTTCCTTGCCTTTAGCAGAGGGCATGTGTTAAGTCATGGGAATTGCCCGTAGAAGGTCAAAGTTTGGCATTTGGGGGGAACATCACAGCAAATGATAGAAAATATCACAGTACAAAGATAAATAAGCATGAAGTGGGAAATTGAGTAAATGGAGCATCAAGGAGGATAGGAAAAATTCATACAAAGAAAACAGAGATGGTTGTGTAGCAGCTGGTTAAGCTGGAGAGGTCTTTGGTGTTTCAGAAGTCAAGGTGGGTTTTTAAGCACGGGTTTACACATGTTATCAAAGCAGACTCAGTGAGGATGAATTCCTGCCAGTTGTGCTATGTCCATTTTAATCTCATACTGCCACTTCTGTTTCTTTTATACAGATATGATGGAAGGGATAAGTAAGCATACGCAGCATTTCTGTTGAGTGTTCAGTAAACAAACAGTAGTGCCCAACAGCTCTAATGATGTCCTTGCCCGTGCAGTTCAAAGCACACTGCTGACTGTCTCAGGCAGGCTTGCAGTAACTGGTTGTTTTTGTTGGTGGTGCCTCCAGTTCAGAAGTTCTCTCTCCTCCAGATGTGTTTATACACTGGCCAGCTTTGGCTCAGACCTGCGCAGTCCTGTGGAAGACAGCAAAGCTCTTGCAGTTTGGTAGGAAACAGTGAAATCTGCTCTGGGTAATCCAGTGGATTAGTTTAAAACCAGTTTGAAAGGTGCTCACATGGTCTTCATAAACTGTTGACCATAGTTGAGTCAGGTTGCTTTTGTGCTTGGTTCTTCTCATTGAAGCCAGGACCCCAAGATCACTGCAGCAATACAGCTTAAAGCCCTTGTTTCTGCACTGAAGGTAGTGATTATATTCCCTTCTGCAATGGTGGATCAGGTTCTGTGTGTTTTGTGGTCTTTTTATGTTTGTAAGTAAAGTGAAAATGCATTTGTTACTGTTTCAGCAGTTGTCTTCAACCACAAAGGCTTTGTAGCACATTCCAGAAAGGTTCCATCACTGATATTGGGCTTGTACTACATTTTTTCATAGACACCATGAAAATTCTTTGGTATGCAGATGCTGCTTTGAAAGGGAAAGCCCTTGGAGTGTCTGGAAACATTTATGAAATGATAGATTAGATCTCTGAGTTGGACTTGTAGGAAAAAAGGAGTGTTTGTTTCTTGCTATGAAAAAATTTGCCTGTAGTTACTCATTGGGCTTATTTTTTAGTAACTTTTCTAAGGAGGAGGTAGAATTGTTGAAGGTTAAACAGTCTTTGTGTGGACTCCAAGTTTTCACATGTTTAGACTGGATTAAAAAGAAGTTTAAAATAATTGAAACATGTTGCATTTGAGGATTTACTACTTAAGGCATCAGTGTTTCTAATACTGGGTAAATCTTTCAGTTATTATTTGCTTCTGATAAATCTGAGCACAAAATGTTCACTTTACTGCTACTTGTTGCCTCAATGCTTGAAACACATCATCTATGTGTAGTAAACAGGTGTATCCCAGTGTGAGAATTTCCCATTTTCATTTCAGAAATGCTTGCAGGCATGTTAATATGCCTAAGTTGATTAAACTGATGAGCATTCTCCACCAGATAATTTTTTTGAAAGGGTATGGTAAAACTAGAAGCCATCAAACTTAACTTACTATTTAAAAAAAACCAAACAAACAAACAAACAAAAAACCTAGGAACTGCACCTGTTGGCTACCATGACTGAGCTCCTGAAGAACAGGACTGTATGTGCATGTATAAAATTGGCTTGGCAATATAACTGATTCCCAAAAAGCAGTAAAGTTTGTGGACTTCTTGGTACTGTCAGTGGCAAATGAGATGAGAAACACTGGAATGTTCAAATGCTTTCTGTAAACTTGGCTGCATATTTTAGTTTGTCTGCAAGCTAGGCAAATCCTTGGCAATGGAGAACTGATGATTTCTGGAGCATTACTCCAGAAAATCAGGGCATGCCATGGAGCCTTCGGGAGGCCTGCAGCTTTTATTAGTGGAAAAAAGGATTTTTAGCTTTTTTTTCTTTTCCTAATATAATTTTACATAGGAAACTTTGCAGAGTTGTCTTGTTTTCAAAGAACAGCCCTGCCTTCTCTGATTTTTTCAGCTTTGCTAACAAAAGATGACTTGTTACCCAGGATGCCTCTTTGTACCTATGTGCCTTGTTCAGTATAGCTCTGTGTTGGGCTTAGTTTCATATATCAAGGACTAGGAAAACATTCCCCAGAAGAATCTGTGTTCCTGTAGTAAGGATGTTTCTGTAGTTCAAATGGGGTGCAAAACCCCCTCAATTCTCTGCATGTAGTTATCAGGATATGCACTGCTCTGCCTTTTCTCCCTGTTTTCTCCTGAATATGTTTGCAGGAATTTACATGGGACATGTGGAAACTTCTAACAAATCCCTGCTACCAGTGGACAAGACCCAGTAGCATTTAGAAAATATTAACCCTTGAAAAATGCTGAGTTACAAGTGTCTTCAAGTGGTTATTAGGGCCCTGAACTAGCAGCTCTTATGCATGTGCTCACCTCTCAGCAGAAGCCTTGGCGTGTTTACATGCAATAATTTTCATTCCATTTTGTTGCTTTTAATTAGGAAGTTGCTTAAAACTGAATTTTTATCCTCTCAGTTCTCTCTTAGGAATTCTACTGCTCCCATATCTTATTTTGGTAAGAGTTGAGAATTCTTTTTTAATGATGTCTTTGATTTATTTCTTTGGTTGTTGTTTTTTTTTTTTTTTTTTTTTTTTTTTTTTTTTTTCTCTCTTGAATTGTTCTCCTAGATTGATTCAGTTGAGAATTTCACATTGTCTAATACTCCATCACGGGATGAAGATAGCAAGTCTCACCTCCATTCAAGATCGAGGTCTCCTTCTACAGCCAGTGAGATTGAACCAATTGAGGTACTTCAAGTGTTGAAATATATTTGTCTTTTTCTTCTCTTTTTTGGAGTAACAGTTTCACTTGTATAAAAATGAGTACTGCAAGTCTTTTGTTTAAGGTGAAGCTCGTTCTTCTGCAGCAAGACTTTGTTTAGGACTTTGTAATAGCCTTCTGCACTAGTGGTGAACTGTGTCTTGGGGAATGTTGTATTTCCTTTCACATATGGTTAATTGAATAGGGATGGGAACTATGAATTAATTATTAGTTATGGTCTCTCTTCATAACATATCCTCAGTCATGAATATTTAAGAAATGTTGGCACAGAGATTGTTATAATATAGTTTGTAAAAATACACTTCCAAGCCCTGCTGGAAGTCTTGTTATTATGAAATCTTAGCCAGACTCTACAACTGTAATAATACAATGATGTAATAAGTTATCCCCTTTCCCTGATTAAAAAAAAATAGTGTTGTGGTTATTTTATATTAGAAAATATCCAATCAAATGTTGCAGATAATGTGAAGCTGGTTTTGACATTTAGGAGATGAATCTTGCTGAGAAATAAGATTTGTTTTTTCTGAGTCCTGCATTAATCAATTTGGTTTCATAGTTTGGATGCTGGGGAATGGGGTGGGTGGGACCACACGCTCTTCTTCCTTTATCCAGGCTTTCTTTGGCAGTGTGTTCTTGCTGTCTGATTGATCCTTTGGGGGCTCTGTGCAGGTTACAGATCATCCTCCCCGTTCAATTCACACGCCCACCATGAGGACGGCGTATATTGGCTCGGGGCTCTCTGCACCAAAGGTACCCTGTCAAGCATTCACACTTTCTGTGTAGCAAGGGCAGCCTGGCACTCCTGGGCTGCAGCTTCAGGAGAGCTGGGTATCACACTGATCTTACCAGAGCTGCCTGCAAGGGGTGTTTGTGTGCAAGCTGGTTGCTCTGTAAAATTTAAAATCCTTGTTTCTCACGTTAACTGAGAATTCCAATTAACTGAGAATTCACGTTAACTAATTCCAAGCTGCACTAGGAATTCCACAGGCATTTGGTTGTAGGAAAAACGGTAGTTTGGACACCAGAAAGAGGTAAATGAGCTAGAATGTGAAGAAAGGAAAGTGCCATCCTAGGAAGAGAGTGTTTTCTAACATATGTCTGACCAAAATGCCTCTCTACTCTTTGTGTACAAGAAAGTCTCAGATTAACATGTCTGTGTGTTAATTAGATGTTTATTCTTGAGAAAGGCAAAGAGTATTCCTAAAAATGAAACCACACATTTGCCTGTTTTAAAGCAGAGTGAGCACTACAGGAAGAGATTTTCTATTTTCCTGTCTTTTGGCTTTTACCTATATAAATACTGATTTTCCATCAGTTGTTGAAATTATTTTGCTGTTGCCGAATAAGCCAGTGTATGCTAATTCCCAGTGGATTATGTCTATTCAAGCAAATGAAGAATAAATACAAGCTTTAAAGGAAAAAATTTCTTGTGAAATATTGAAAATTACTCAATGGTTTTGGAATCTTCTGTATATTTAAAAATAACAGTTTTTGCTGCAACTAATAATAAAGCAAACAAGCCTTCATAGTAGATCTGTTTCTCTGCTTTGATAGATTGCAGAGTAGCAGAAGATTCATTTGTGTAAAAGAAAGCTGGAAATTTTGAGCAGACAGTGCTCTGTTGGCAGCATCTTAGTAGATCAATTAAAAAGATACTTTAAGTGCACTTGGAATCATGTGAAACGGACTTTACTGTCTACATAATTTAATTTTTGCAAACATTTTGCTCAATAAGTAATCACTTGCTTTATAATTTATTATGTCCCCTAAAGAACTTCCTTTCTTTTTGATTGCATCAGTGTTTAAAGCTGGGTGTTGTTTCCGTGCAAGTCTCAAAACAGAACATTCTGTAGACAGAACGCTGCCATTGTAACAGGAAAGCTGTCATTAAATATGGATAAGTTTGAGCCCTTAGCTGTGATATCTTATGCTCTGAAAAACAGGAAAGTGAGTAAAATTTTAACATACCTACTCTCCAGAGTAGTCTGCAAAATTGTCCTGTTTGAGATCATGTACATTATCAGGTTTTTTTGGGACAGTCTTTGCGTTGACCCTGTGCTCTGGGCTTTCTCCCCGGTAGTTACTCACTGGGAGTTTTTATAGAAAAGCAAAGCAGCTTCCTGGATTTTATATATTTTATATAAGGCCATCTGTGAGTCATCCTACCACATTATGTGGGTATTTAGCCTTTATATAGCAGCATCAGCATGGACATCCTTGAGGAGAGGGAGAGAATGAAACCACTTACTCATGTACTCTGTGTTCCCAAGGAATAATAAAAAAAGAGAAACCCTTTCAAAATCAACTTCATCTATCAACTTCAGCTCTTGCCTTTATATTAGGTGTTCTGAATTGCCCCTGCTAAACACCATAAAAGGGGGCTCTGTCAGGGCTTTCTGGCATAAAATTTAATATTTTGAAAAAGTCTGCTAATTTTCTTTTAACGAAGGCAGTACTCCTGAGAGAGGAGCACTGAATTTGCAGCTGGGAAAATACTGTTACGGGTGGAGCTGGTGACAGTCAGGTGCCCTCCAAACTCATGATGATACACTTTCTGCTTCTAAAGTTGAACAGAATCACTTGGGCAGCTTTCCTGTCTGCAGTAGAAGCAAACTCATGTTCTGAGACAGGGTCCAGTTTCCGTGGCTTTGTTTGCAGAGGATGCTTTAAATTATCAACAGTGGGCACAGTGATAAGGAATTTTTTTTGGCTCAGATGTCATTTCAGCAAGCACAAACAAGCTGCCTGATGAAATGCATCTATGCACTCTTGTCTGTGAAAGAAATAACTGTACTTGAGAAGTGTTACAAGTGTCCTGTCTGCTCATTTCACAGCCTAAAGCTCACCAGTTCGTAGTGAAATCCTTTAACACACCAACAAAATGCAATCAGTGCACGTCCCTGATGGTTGGTCTGATACGACAGGGCTGTACTTGCGAAGGTAAGCACTTGGGAGAGCAAAAACAAGTGTGAACTGATGTTCTTACAGGTGCAAATGGCACAGGAAATGTAGAGTGGTGATGCAGGAGTCTTCTGCTTGTATTTTCAATATCAGTATATTCTCATGCTTCAGTCTTTAAGAGTAGAAGCCAAACACTTAGAACATGCCTAAGAGATTGCCCAGTTATCTGGGGACACTCTTATTCCAGTTGGTGGTAGAAGAGCTTAGTTCAGTGTACTCAAAATAGCAATAAGGGGCCACAGGTGGCCCCCTGAGTGGTCAGGCATACTGATAAACCTTTGCTTTATGTTGAAGGGCAAAATTTAAGACATCTAGTCTGATTTATTCCAGAAAGAAACAGAATTGGTACTGAATGGCAGTTATTCTTGTTTGTATGCACACAGAATGATGCTTATTATTTAAAGGATGTTCCAGTTTTTCGTTTACCAGTAGAGTTAGGCCTAGAGGACGTAATAGAGATTCTCTTAGGTTCTTTGTTATCTGGATGAAAGCAAGTGTATCCATAAACTATCTGAAAAAGAGAAATTCAGGATTTAGAGCAGATAAAAACATGAACTTCTGCTGTGTGCAGACTTATATTTCTGTCTGTAGCAAAGTTCAGTGAGATTATTCAGATGCTGGTCAAAAAAGGAAAGAGGATTTCTTTCTAAATCTCATCATCATTATCACAACTTTTGCACTGCCCAAGAAATAACCATCAAATCTTTTTGTTTCTTCTCCTCCTCACAAGTGTGTGGATTTTCTTGCCATGTGACCTGTGCAGACAAGGCTCCTGCAGTATGTCCAATCCCTCCTGAGCAGACTAAGGGACCTTTGGGAATAGATCCCCAGAAAGGCATAGGAACAGCTTATGAAGGACATGTCCGAGTAAGTAGGAGGCAGCTGCGTTTGGGGCACTTACATTAAATTAATTGTTTTCCAGAGCTGCTATTACTTTGAATTTTGGGGGCATAGATTGAATTACATCTTAGGGTAGCACTTTGGAAACTAAGACCTAAATTTTTACAAAGCAACTCTTAGCATTGTCAGCAGTGATCCTCTCACCATCTCTGTTGGTCAATGTGCTTTGGGTTGCTCTTGAGTAGTTCCATCTCTAGAGATCAGATCATCTGTGATCAGCAGGCTCTGTGTTTTTTGAATCTTTCTGCTACTGCTGTCTGTGGTTACTGGTGTGGATATTTGCACAGAAATATTAAAAGATTTACTCAGCAGAGTTTTGGCCTTAATTCTGTGGTCAACATGAGACGAGTTTTTTTCCTCCATGTTTGTTAATACAGCTCTGAATGAACTTGTGAAATGAGAAGAAAGAATCTGTGATGCTATTAATTTATTAAGTAATATATTGTCTGTCTGTCTGTGTTTGTTGGTCTTACTACTCCTGGGCTCTTGCATATGTTGCTTAATGTCATCATTGAATTAAAACTTTCCAGCCCAAGATGGGTAAACTGATTTTTGTGCGGCTTGATTTTTTGATTGCATCTAAACTTACAGAGAATTGATCAGAATTTATTTTTCCAAAGGTCCCAAAGCCAGCTGGAGTAAAGAAAGGTTGGCAGAGAGCGCTGGCAGTGATCTGTGATTTTAAACTCTTCCTGTATGATGTAGCAGAAGGAAAAGCGTCTCAGCCCAGCGTGGTAGTGAGTCAGGTCATAGACATGAGGTAAGCTGCTTGCTGCTGGGGGAGCTTTGCAGAGGCACTGGGAGGTTTTGTTCTGCTTTTCCTTTTTGTCAAATCAGTAAGCAAACTCCAGAGCTTTTATGAAACCTTTTAATCCGTGTTGAAAGGCACTAATTTTCTGGGATAAAAAAAATAAAACAGCAGTTAGCAGTTATTTGGAATTAGCCTGAACGACACTCGTTTGTCCCTATATGGATGTTTAAACTTCCATTACTACATCATGTGCAAAGAGCATCTGTTCAGCTGTGCAGAAGATCTGGAATGAATAAAGAATTAAAAATAACACCATTTTGGGGTTGAATAGAGTTTTGAAAGACATAAAATTTTGTTATAGGGTAAATGTATTACAATTTTTGCTTGAGAAGAGCTGAATAGTTTGTTCCCACTCTCTTCAGTATTACTGAAATACTACCAGCCTCACTGAAGGCTGAGAATATCTAACATAGCAACTAAATAAAGCTCATCTCTGATCTAAGTTAGTTTTCTTAGGAAGCCCCAAACTGCTGAAGGTTATAGCTTCTGGGTGAGTTTGGATTTTTAGGAGAGTTGGAGAGGTTGTTCTTTGTTTGACTTGTTTTTTAAATTGGACTTTTTTCTTGCAAGGTTTTAATTTATACAGATGAAAAAACAGTTACAGAATATCTGAATAGATATATCTCCATCAGCATTTACCAGGAATTAATTATGCAGCATTGAATTTGTGAGTTTTATCTTCAGATACAGATGAAAGAATAATTTTTAAAACCATATTTCAGTGCTGACTTGTTTCCTTCACTAAACAAGGCTATTGAAAGAGTAAAATCCAAACATACAGATTTTGCTCATTAACTCTCTTCCAATTATGTTTATGGTCTCCATAAGGGATGAAGAATTCTCAGTGAGTTCTGTCTTGGCCTCAGATGTCATCCATGCAAATCGGAAAGATATCCCCTGTATCTTTAGGGTGAGTATTACATCCTGGGTTTCACAGGGTGGTGTGTGCTGTGACAGCTTGCCAGTATTTCATTTCCTTGGCAAGTTCTGCCCCTGTGGAATCCATGGCAGAAGCAGCAGTGTGTAGGAATATGGGTTGTATTTTTTCATCTTCACAATAAGACATATTTTCCTCCATTTCTTCTTAGTCATTTGAAATTCTTCTGTTCATCATGACCTTGTACATTTTCATTTCCTCAAGTTGCCCTCTGCTTCTCAATTTAACTCACTGAGTTATTGCTGAAATACTTATTTTTTATACTTTTTTTTTTACGTATGCGTTGGCTATCTGAAAACTCCATTCATCAGGTAGTCAGTATAGAAATTGAGTGCAAAATGCTCATGAAAATTTATGTCTAGTATCTGCTATCAGGATTTTGCCATCACTGGCTTATTCTTATTTTTGTTAGATATTCTGTTAAAGCTTTGACCTCAGTGAAACCTCCTTGATGTCTTATCAGTTCCACTATCATTTCTTTACTGTGCCTTTGTATTTCAGTCATTGTTTTTCCAGTTTTTAGACTGCTCATCACTCAGTGTGCTGAGGGGAGATAAACCTACAAAAGGGGCTTTCCATTGTATCTATAATAGCTGTATCAAATGCATGAAAAGAATCATAGAGAATTCTGTCAGTAAAAGCCATTCGTATTGCATTAAAAATTATTAATGAAATCTGTACTCCTAAAAATACAGAAAACTTTATAAAAATGTTTTTTGGTATGAAATTGCTGTGAGAAACAATTGACTACCTTATTTAGAGCAGACATTCATTAATTATAAAATAAATACCAATGCATTTGAAATAAAGACAACATTTTCTCCGTTCTTCAAAATATTCACATCTGGTTGTCTGCTGTGGGTTCTTGATTAAGATAAGAGTGCTTTCTATTAACTGAAGAGAAATTTTTACTTCCTTAATTCAGACAACTAATTAAAAGGGCATTTACAGGCATCTGATTCCCTTGTAAAAACGATCATGAGGAAATAATTTATCACTTGTGACTTTATGTTTTGATTTTTTTGCAGGTTACAGCCTCCCAGCTCTCTGCATCCAGTAACAAGTGTTCAATCCTGATTCTAGCAGATGGTGAGAATGAAAAAAGCAAGTGGGTGGGCGTGCTGAACGAGTTGCATAGGATCTTGAAGAAGAACAAACTCAAAGACCGCTCAGTCTATGTCCCCAAAGAAGCTTATGACAGCACCTTGCCCCTCATCAAAACAACACAGTCAGCAGCCATCATAGGTATGAAGTTGTTAAGAAGAAAGCTCTAAGAAAAATGGGTGTGCTAAAAGCATGATTTTTTTAGGGGAAAAAAAGTGTTGGATGGTTATCTACTGAATAGTGAGTAATAGTTAGTGGTTTTATCCCATATGGAAACGTGTGTGGGCCCAAGAGAAAAGTGCAAATATCATTTGTCAGATATTTTAAGAGTATTCCCTCTATTCACCCATATTCATAATTACTCACCAATATTCATAATTATGAATAATTTTGACTGAGAATTGGACATTCTTCTTTTGTTACTCTGTAAACATAATTTCCTGACTGGGCAAAATTAGCACTATAGTGTAGGTGTAAATCACTCACTTTAAAATCTGCTGGTGGGACCAGAGAGAAAATTTAAGATCAGAGGTTGAATTTAGTAATTTCAAATACTACTGCATAAAATATGTTATACTCTGATTATGTAAATTATTTCAATATAATAGTATAGTTACTTCAAAGCTGGTGCTAGTCTTAAGTTCTCTGAACAGTTTGTTAAAAATTATGTTTCTAGCCTTTACTTTAACTAACAGGAGAAATGGGAAAAGACTTCTTTTTTCAGAAATTTGAAAGATTGGGAGTTTGCCAATTTTTTTAATACATGAATATATTAGGTTTGGCTTTATATACAATTATTTCAATATATTATAACAATTGTTTCTGTTAATGAGAATTTTAACTATTCTTTATGTGATTCATAAAGTACTTCCAAAGAAAAATAACCTTTTTTTTTTCCTTAATGTCATAGACCATGAAAGAATAGCTCTGGGAAATGAAGAAGGGTTGTTTGTTGTGCATGTCACCAAAGATGGTAAGTAACTAGGAACTGGTAATAATTTCCCTAATACTAAATCATCTTTTTCTTACGCAGTATCTTCTGGTTTCATTGTTCATGATTTACTACATTACCAGCTGGACAGCTCCGTGAGAGACCAAAAAGTGTTCAATGTGCTCTCTGGTTTGGGTGTCCTTTCCAGTAACAAGGTTTTGGAATGCAGTTGAAGTTTTTTTCCCCGTTTTCCCCCAAACTGTCTCAATACTGATTTCAGACCAGGTTGCTCAGGGCTTTGTCCCGCTGGGTGTTGAAAATCCCCAAGGACACAGGTTCCCTGATCTCTCTGGACTGCCAGTTGCACATTACTCTCACAGTGAAACACTTCCTTTGTATATTCAGCAGGAACCTCCCTCATTTGAATTTCCTGCTGTGCACCTCATCAAGAATCATGGATTAAATCCTTTGTGTAACCTCCTCCTTGGTACTGGAGATGAAAACTTCTGTGCAGTACTGCAAGATGTGCTAACAGATTGCCCCAGTTAATTCAACAAATGACATGTTTAATTGTATGTTTCAGCTCTGAGGCTTTTCCTTGAGTCAGTAGTTTTTTGCTATAAACTGTTTTTGAAATGAATACTGAAATAATACAGTTGTTGTTACTGCATCAGATCTGCTTCTCCCATTTCTGATGGGGAAAAGCCAAAGGTTTATCCAGAACTGCCACATCTGGTGTTATTAAAACACAAGTTTTGATTCTGTACTTTTTAATACTGCAGGGAAGCAATAAAGGGGGTTTCTTGGGTGTCATTCTTGTGCCGAGAATGACACAGGAACAGGCGGGAGGCAGTATTGTAGAAAGAGCAAAAGAAGGCTTTATTAATGAGAACCGCGCGGTTTTTAGAGTGATACGATACATTCTGTTTGATTGGCTAGTTAGCAAAAACACCTTCCTCACACGCTGTCCTTGAGAAGAACAGAAAGAGGAAGTAGAAAAACACCACCTGCAGATTGCTTACACTTAACAAGTTATCACATCCTTACAACTCCCTAAAAATTCTCACAAGCCGCTGTGAGAAACGCTTGCCGTTTCTCTCTCTCTGTCCCATGGCATCCACACTTGGGTTTCTTTCCTAGTTCATCTTTACAAATACATGTTATAATCAATTCACACTTCACCATTACTTACTTGAACTGTGTGTGGGGGGGGTGTTTTGATTTTTCTTTCAGAGATTATCCGTGTTGGTGACAACAAGAAGGTTCATCAGATCGAGCTCATCCCGAGCGAGCAGCTCATTGCCGTAATCTCAGGACGGAACCGCCACGTGCGGCTCTTCCCCATGGCCGCCCTGGATGGAAGGGAGACTGACTTCTACAAGCTGGCAGAGACCAAAGGCTGCCAGGCCATCGTTTCTGGACACGTGCGCCACGGAGCCCTCACCTGCCTGTGTGTGGCCATGAAAAGGCAGGTGCTCTGTTACGAACTAAATCAGAGCAAGACGCGCCACAAAAAGATCAAGGAGATCCAGGTGCAGGGGAACGTCCAGTGGATGTCCATCTTCAGCGACCGCCTCTGTGTAGGCTACCAGTCAGGTTTCCTAAAATATCCCCTCCATGGAGAGGGCAGCCCGTACAGCCTGCTCCATCCGGACGACCACACGCTCTCGTTTATCTCACAGCAGCCAACTGATGCCATCTGTGCAGTCGAGATCTCAAATAAAGAATACCTGCTGTGTTTTAGCAGCGTCGGGGTTTACGTCGACTGCCAGGGCCGAAGATCCAGGCAGCAAGAGTTGATGTGGCCTGCAACTCCATCTTCTTGCTGTGAGTTGTGCTGTGTGTGTGTGTCTGAAGTGATCTCTGCTTGTGTTGGTATCCATGGGAGGTGGCGTTCTCGACTAATTACCTGACAGGTTAATGAATGCTGTCAGCCCCTGTCACCATTTTTAATCCAGTCAGAGGGTTTAATCTTCATTTATGCTCGTTTCAGCAGTTCTGGCACTGACCTATGCTTGCTGGAACACAAAGAGGAATCATGAGTCAGGATTTCTGACTCTAAAACAGCCAAAAGCTTCAACGGAGGCTAATGGGAGGTTTATGTATTTGCTACCACCAGTGCTAGACTGTTGTTATTCAAAGTCTTGGAATGTGATTGTACCTTGGTTCCAACTTTCTTCATGCTGAGAGTCATTAGGATCTGGTAGTTTGACTTGCTTTTCTCTAATGGTATTTGTTCCTACTTGCTAGTCTGTTTTGTCTTTTCTTTCTTTATTTGTTCATTCTTTCTTCCTCAGCAGATTTTGTCAACAACCTTGTTTTTCCTCTCCTCTTTCCCTTTCAAAAACTCACTAAGTTTCCCTCCTGTCTCTCTCTCCTCTTCCAAAATGCAATGCATAGGAGGCAACATAAAAAATATATTTCATAACCTTAAGGAAAAATACTATAATTTTTCAAGATTTTCATTTCCACCAAGGTCTGTTAAACATTTATTTCAAAGCTGGGGCTTTATCTCTATGACAGTTTCAAAGGGAAAAAAAACAAACCTGAATGTCTATCTTCTTCTTCTTCTTTTTAAGGTCTTTCTGAATGCACATAAAGATTAGCCAAATCTGCACTCAGAGTACTGAAGAAGCCCAGTTCTGTGTTGATTTTTAGGATAGTCTGCCTTCCTTCCTCACTGTGGCAGCAGTCCAGTCACACTGTAAAGGGGAGCAGTATTTCACCTTGTTTGAGTGAAGGCCCTTCTGAGTGTGGAGGGAGCAACATTTACAGGATGTTTGCCACTTCTGGATTTCAAGCAATCTTATACAATTGATCATTACAGTGGACTCAGACAATGAATTAAATCAAAACAGAAGGTTATGTGATAGATTGAAAAATGTGTGTTTTTCACACATAGTTCATCTTGCCGTTGTTGTTTGTGACAGTTTTTTGATTGCCCAAAATGAAGTGATTTGATGATGATTTCCAACTCAGAATGGAGGTGTATTTTATAGCAAAAGCTGTTACATTTAAGCACAGCTTGGATGCTGTTGTTAGTCTTGGCAGACTGTGGCAGTCTTGTTGCCGACATGGAAATACTGAATTATCCTTTAGAAGTGGTCCCAGTGAAACAAATTTCATCCTGGGGAAATGTGCCAGATAAGTAGCAGAAGACTTCTCCTTACAATCCAGAAAATGAGAAGAGAGAATTGAAGTTAAGGAAAGATGATTTTTATGACTGTGTCATGGTGCTTAGTTCCAAGTGATGCTCATTTAATGCATAGTCCAAAGACTCAGAGCTCGGTTCATTCAACTGGCAGTTATTAAATAGAGCAGGGTATTTTCCTACCACTTAATTTACAATATGTGAGCTCTTATTAAAAATGGGGCTTTTAGGAGGAAAAAAACTTTGAAATACATCAGTATTTGGCAGAGTAAACCATGTCTTACAATTCAGAAAGTAGTTAGGTTTTCAGCAAAGTTAAAAGTCATGGAGGTTGTAAGTTTTTGGGTGGTGCTGGTTTGTCTTTAGAATAAATTTCTTGGTCATTTTTGAGTTCTAGCATATTCTTCGAAGCTTGGTGTTGGATTGTGAAGCACTGGTTTTGTTTTCATAAATAAATATGGTTAAACTGTGAGAAATTGTCTATTTTGGGCCATGTCCAAAAGCAGATGACACAATGCCTCATCATTCCCTCCCAGGTTACAATGCACCATACCTCTCTGTGTACAGTGAAAATGCAATTGATGTCTTCGACGTGAACTCCATGGAGTGGATTCAAACTATTCCTCTCAAAAAGGTAATTTCCCATTTCAGTGTGGGCCAAGGAATACGTCCAGAACCAATACTGCTCATTAAAACTGCTTGTGGGAACATAATTGAATTAAAAGAAGAGCTACTGCAAAGAAACTGATGCATTTTTGTTGGAAATAGAAGAATGTGTTTTTCGTGTGGTTGCACTGGTTTAGATGAATAGTCAGTCTGGAGCATATGGCTATGTTAGAGATACTGTTGTAATAATGAGAGGAATTAATTGGCATTAATTACATATGGCTTCATTGGGACTGATGGTGATTATTACCAGAGAATGGTGGATGTTAAGATAATTACACAGGCCTTCAAAAATCCATCTCCTGCTGCTCCTGAACATGTGGTAGACAGACAGGGTTAGAACATTTTGTTTCAAGCAGTGGAAACACCAAAAACAGGATGATGTCAGTTTGGATCTCTTATCAAAAGGAAGATGTTTCTGAAAACTGACACTTCCTTGGTATTTAGAAGGTGTTTGCTCAGCTGTATTTGGAAAGAAAAGAAAAAAGTCAATTTTTTGTTGTGGTTTAGACTGACTTCAGCTTTGTATCAGGGTCAACACAATTCCTTTACTGGCATTCCAATGACACAGAGCTGCAGGACATTGCTCCTGTGGTCTTGTGTTGGTCATTCAGTCTCTGCATTTCAATTTCCCACGTGCCAGATGCAGACCAGGATATTCAGGCAGTGCTGTGAGGATACATAGTGCAAAGATCAAGGTGCTCAGCTATTAACCATCTTGAAGAGAGACCAACCTGGACTTTTATGGGGAAGTTCTTTCTGGTGTCCAATCTTTGAGTTATTAAACAGTTGGAGCATTTTTTTTTCCCCCTACACAGTAGAATGTGATTTAATACTTTGGTTAATGTTTGGCTCAAGACTTCCCTTTTAATGGATGAAGCTACTTTCAGCAAACAGAATTACTACACTTAGGAGTCTCAAAAATGGTCATTTATTATGAAGAGTCTATTTCTAACACAATTTACAGAGTGTGGAATGCCTCTTTTATGTTGGAAGTCACAAATACCAGTAGGTTTTAGCAGTCTGTGTGTGCTCTTATCAAGCTGCAGAGCATTATTTTGACATGGTACTAACACAAAGTAAAAGCTCAGCTTATTGCTTTGTACATATAATGGAAAAATTGAGTTGATATATGAAGTAGACTTCTAACACAACTATTCATTTAAATGGGAGAAATGGTGTTAAGCCTGTGTCTTGAAGTGGAATTTTAGGCAACCCCCTCTGTACTCATTCTCAAAAAAATAAGAGTTTAAAATTTTTTTGAACTCTTCTTTGTGGCTTTAATGACTTGAAATTGTTACTCTTGAGAGTGTTACAAGGACTGTTTTTCCTTGTTTCAGGTACGACCCTTGAATACAGAAGGATCACTAAACCTTTTAGGCCTGGAGACAGTCAGATTAATATATTTCAAAAACAAAATGGCAGGTAAGTAAAGAGAAGCCAATTTTCATCATTCACATTTTTGTTTAGAAAGAGCATTTGTCTGCATCTGTGCATTGCATAAAGGAATCTCTTAAACATCTGTGTGCTTGTTAACTTGGGAAAAAGCCAAAGCTTATGGATTCCACAGTGATTGCAATGCTGTCTCTTCTCTGAACTTTTTTTGCCTTTTGAATGTTCATTGAAGACTTGAATGAAGACTGGAACTAGAAACTAGAATGACTGGACGCTCCCTCCAAATGTGGGATCACCTGCCAGAACACTACCTAAAAAACCCTGCACAATTAAAACCTTCAGTAGTCATTTTGGCAGCACCAGATTAAAATCAATACTATATTTAACCTTTAATACTATATTTAACAAATGTTTCCCAAGCATTTTAAAGTAATATAGTGTATTCCTAACTTATTATGACTGTGTGCCAGAACTTTAGCTTAAAAAATCTATTTTTGTTACGGGTCTTTCTGACTTTTTTTTTTTTTACTTTCTAGAGCCCATTTCATAAGCATGCTCCTAAGGAATTTCCTTAAACTTTTGTTTAGCCTCTTAGGTGGAGAGGGGGCATGCTCTGTTTCAACAACCAAAAGCTATAAATTTCTGTTAACAACTTTCTGAAAACAGTGGAAATAAACACTCCAGAAAAATGTACTGCTGCTGGCACTGTCTCCGTGCTTATTTCAATTGCCAGCAAATTAGTACGAAAGGAATGGCAGTGGTAGAGAGGAGAAATATGTTGGAAGTATGTCTAGAGAATTTTCAAGTCTAATAAAGACTGAACATTAGAGTTGATCTTAAGGAAAGAAGAGATTTGAGTTCCATACAAAACTGTTTTGTCAGTGAGCAGTGAGCTTATTAAATGTCACTTTAGTTTCCATTTATAGAAAACAAGACAGAACAGTTGCAACATTCATTCAAAGTCACACAGCTGTTGTGTGATTATCATTGTTTTCCTTTTCATGTTTTTAATAAAGATCCCAGATTACACAGATGGAAAAAAATCTTCCCTTTTCCCACAGTTGCATCAAAATACATCGATGTTCAAACACTTCAAAAGCAGTGTTCTCTTTGGAGCAGGGAATGAATGAAAGAGAATCCAGCATTCAGTTTCCAGACAGTTGGCAGAACAAAACTGTTCTAGTGATTTTCAGTGGGAATTTTGAGAAAAGACTCAGATTCCCTTCCTGCCCACCTAAATGTTTATTTCAGAGAATGCATCAGTGGTGTTTTGAGAACATGGGTGTGGCAGCTCGTGTGTGAAGAAGGGTTAAATCTGTTGCTGCATAACAGAGTAGTAGAGAGTGACCAAGGAAACCCATAAACCAAAGAACGCTTGTTCAGCTTTGATGGGGAAGGGGTGGTGTCCAGCACTGGCAGAGCAGTGGTAGAGTGCTGAAACTCAAATTCCATTAGTGGCTGCATCCCCATCTTTGTGCTGGTTTCAGAGGGGGACGAGCTGGTGGTGCCCGAGACGTCAGACAACAGCCGGAAGCAGATGGTGCGGAACATCAACAACAAGCGGCGCTACTCCTTCCGCGTGCCCGAGGAGGAGAGGATGCAGCAGAGGAGGTCTGTATTCCACCTGTACTTGTCCTCTGTCCATGCCTGTAGGTCCTGATGGACGCTGACTGATGCCAGGGTCGTGCTTCATTGTGTGGCTTTCTGGAGTGGCCGTTCAGGTGTTGCTGTCTCTTCTCTACCCTGTCAATGCTCAGTGTTTAACTTGTGTCAACACGGGTTTGGATATGGATATGCACTGGATGCACAATTAGCTGAGATGAATTGTGTGAAAAAGCTGTAATTTGGAATGCATGCCTCCCCGTACTGTATGCAGGTGCATAGGTGTGCACATACACTGTGTATGTATAAAGTTCTCCAATAAACACTTTGCAAAAGGAGATTACTTTGCTAACTATGCATATGGATCAATTACTCTCAGACTCTGGTTCTGCTTTTTTTTTCTGAAGGAGGTTTTCCTCTCAGCAGTATTCCAGGACATCTGTTTCTTTGATTTATAAATTTAACTACATAGAGTTTCTATAAACTCACAAAACTCACCTCTTCAGGGGACATAGGACTGCAGGGTGTATTTCTGATGGGAGTGTTTAGCAGGTTACAAATACTTTCCTAAATGGCAACAAAAACAGGTCTGCACTACTGGCAGTGTTTGCAGAGGATGTTATTGACCATTTGCTGTCACTCCTAGAAGTGACCTGCTGCTGTGCTAAGCCACACTCCGAGAGCTGAGTATTTCACTTTTCTAATTCCTAGCATCTTGCACCATTGGTTGGCTCCCAGTTTGTCTTTCTTTTTGGCCCTAAGGAAAGTAACAACTGTATGCAGTGGAGATAAAATTCCATTTGTTGTTCTTGCCTTTTCTGAGTTGATTGACATTTGGTCTCTTTAAAATTTTTATTTATTCTGAGTTCTGAAATGCATCCTTGCCATTTTGAAGAGCTTTTAATTCTCACCACAGACTGAGAAAGGTACTGCAGTGTTATTTTAATTCTATTTTCATATTTTATACTTCATTTTCATCTCCACTTTGTAATATATCACAAGTAAGTTTGGCTTTTACTCATCTTACAGAGGTTTTTATCTGCTCATTCTGTGAATGTTAGTAACTACTGGGCATGGGCTGTTAAGCTGCAAACAGCATTCTTTTATCCTGGCCACTTGCCCTCTCTTCAAGCTGGAACCTTCTCCACACCAGTACTGACAGCAGGGATTTATCACTGTTAACATGGTTAAATAGAGTCATGGACTCATGGAATTGTTTAGGTTGGAAAAACATGGTTAATTTCCATTTGAAAATAGCTGATAATCAAAGCTGTATGTGTTTTATAAATGCCCATCCTCACCTCAAAGGAAATACCTAAACAAAGTATCTTCTCTTCCAGGGAGATGCTACGTGATCCAGAAATGAGAAATAAGTTAATTTCTAACCCAACTAATTTTAACCACATAGCACATATGGGTCCAGGAGATGGCATACAGATTCTCAAAGACCTCCCAATGGTAAGTACAAAAGGACATGTGAGAGTGACTGACTGCTGCAGAGGATGCAAATAAGTGAGAGAAAAACAAGTGCAATTTTAAGGTGTAATCAGTGAGATATTTCCTATCAGGAACAGTGTAACGAGGGGAATGGAGCTAAAAATGCTCTGCTGTATGTAATAAAATTTAAGCAAGGAGCATGACAAGCATTGAGTAGAGGAGGAGGAGTGCCTAATGCCTCTGGAGTTTTAAGACAGGTTGGCCTCACAGTGTTGATGATAATTTTTATGACCCATATGAAGGTACGAATTTGCCATGATTTGAGCATGTGCTCTTTGTGGGTATGAAAAGAGAAATTCCCTTCTTGGGGAACTGTAGTTCAATTCCTTTTTTCTCCTCCCATCTCTAGCACCAGCTTAGCCTATTTCTTCACAGCCTGTTTTCTGTAGCAATTCAGTAATGTGTACTGCTCATATTTCTTCCCATGCCAAGTATATCTTTCCTGTTCTCTCCAAATTAAGTAATCTCAGTGAAACAGAACTTCTTGCATAAAAACGAACCTTTTAAGTTGAAAAATGGAAAAAGAAAACGTGTAGTAGCATGTGTTCGTTTCCATAAAACCTCATGTGGAGTTTACTGAAATCTGTGATGAGCTAAAGACTAATTAATACTTTGCTCATAAGGAAGTACCATACTGCTTGCTTTGAGCTACCTTGAGCATCTTTTGTGTGTTTATGTGTTCTGTATTGTTCTCTAAGCACATCCACATTGACACAGATGTGATTCAGAAGATGCTAATTAGCACTGTAAGAAAGATGAGATGTTATGATAAAAACAGTTGAAATTTGTTCCAGTAACACCCAGGCATTAGCACAGAACTGCTGTCTAAAATGATCATTGTTACTACTTGGAGTTTGTGCAGAAAGCAGGAATTAGATGCTGAAATTGGGATATTCTGACGCTGAAAAGTGAAAAGGAAACAAAAATAAGACTGGAAAATAAAGCTCAACATGCAGTTGCATGCATTTAGGAGCCTAATCTCTGGTCTTTGGATACTCATTTTACCTCACTTTTGAAGGAAATGGTACTTTTATGTTGCACTTGACTGTAAAGTCTGCACTTTGATTTATTTTAAAACTCATATTAGACACACTTTGAGAAGCCTCTCAATAACAAATATATTTGGTGTAATGAGAAAAAACCAGTACTGTATTGTGTGTATTTTTATAAATGATAATAATTTTTATAAATGAACACATGATGAAGGAGCTGTTTCTAGAAAACATGGCAAATCCAAGAGATGTTGGCAGGTGTGTTTCTCTTACCTGCATACAAGATTGCATGTGTCTAATGTTAGACAGAGAATGATCATTTGCTTCAGAGCAGGATGTAGATCAGAGCCTTTCTTCATTTCTCCATTTCTGGTAAGTTCTTTAAAATATTTGTGGCTCTTCTCAAGCAGAGAAGATAATCTGCTACCTCTGTAGGTAGAGCAGAAGTCATCCTGTGTCACGCCATCAGTAATTGAAAGTTCATGGCGCTCAAAAGCTGCAAGGACTCTTAATTAAGCCCCACATCTGAGAAGTGTAAAACAAAGAGTGATTCTGTCTGTAGGAGGGGATTTTTTACATCATTTCTTCAACACTGTCATCTCTCAATGGCTTTCAGCTTTGAACCCATTCTAATTGCACTTGCCTTGTATTAGCTCACAGGTCCTCTTTCAAGTTAGGACTGGTACTGTGCTATTACCAATCAATGTGATGCTTTGAAAAAATTCATTAGTCTCTTCCCACACTTAAAAGTGATGAGAAGAATTAGAAAATGTGTACAATGTACAGTTGATTCCTGCACTTGTTCCACTGCTGCAGCTTCTTTTAAAAAGTTGTTATTATTAAAACCTCCTTTTTGCAAGTAAGTATCAGTCTTAATGCTGGGAGATGTCGCTGCAAGACAAAGCAAATTTGTTGTGTATTTTTCCATCAGTTCCTTGCAATGTCATGTTGTATTTGTATTCTTAACTTAATTGATACAGAATTGCATCAAGCATGGGACTTGAAAGTGTGTGAATTTGAAAATGTAACTTGAAATTAGGAAATAAATGTTCTGTCAAGAGCAACTTCAGTCCAGGTAGCTTTTTCTTTTCCAACAGCTTCCTGTAAGGTATTTGCCTGGACTGAGTTTCCATTTAATCCATTCCAGACTAAGAAATTTGTTTCTCAGGCACAAAAATATAAGAAAATGAGTTGTGTGGGCATTTGAGTTTTTGTATAGAGTCTAATGTTTTACTGGAAAGAAATTTAGAACCAGAAGGGGGCATGGAAACAAAGGATGTGTCCTGGAGAGTCAGTACATAAGGTAAAAAATAATCATCCAACCCTGTGTAAATCTGTATGGTGGTTCCTTTTCCAGGACATGGAATTATTTCACCGGTTTCATACCTTATTCCCAAAAGGTGAAAAACTGGGGGGTTTCTGTGCTGCTAAGTGTGTGTCCTGATTTTGCAGCTGGAACATCTCCTTTGTATTTTTTAATAGATTAGTGTGGTTCAGAAGAGAAAGTATTTATTTTTAACAAACGTTGGGAAAGATTGCAGCACTTTACTTTGGGAATGCCTGTTCTTGTTTGTGGAAGTGAATGGTAAAATACATTTTTGGGGCTGAGGCTGGGGGTAACAAGCAGTGCAAGGCTAATAGTCTTCTCAAATTCTCTTCCTCCAGCTATTTTAGGTGATACAGCTTCTTTTTTTATGGGGTACTGGAATGCAGAAAGTGCATGAAAGAGTGGAGTGGGACTTTTCATTTCCAGTTTCTTCTGGTTTATTTGAGCACCTTCAGATTTGGCTGGATCTACCAATAGAAAGTTTTCACCCAGCACTGAGCTTTCACAAAAGTCAATATAGTGCTCTATGGGCAAAAGGGTCCTTAGGTATAAATAGGTTTTAATAGAGAATAGATATTTTAATCTCTGTGTTGAATGAGATTGTCACAATCTAAATAGCCAGCTCAGCCCAGCTTTTATCTATCACAAATGGGTGAACTTTATAAAGGAAATGACAGTTTTAGGTATATGTATGTATTTATATTTATTCGTTAATATACACATATTCACTTCATAGATGCAAGGTAATCAGAAAAAAAGGAACCACTTCAGCCCCACTGCCTTTTTTAGGGGAAATGCCAAGGACTGAGAGAAGCAGAGTTAGGATTGGGAGTGATGGCCCTTGATGGGTGGCTGGGCTGTGTCTGTGGGCAGCAGGGGACCTGCACTTGTGCTGCTCTGAGCCTGGCCTGGTGGGTGCAGAGCCTGCTTGCTCTCTGCCCACCACTCTTTTAATGATGTCTTTTAAAAGACCAGCTGTAGAGAGTTTAATTTGTGTTGTAACTGGAATAAAGGGAGTGTTTAAACCCTTTTGCACTATTTGGTGTGTTGAATCAGGTGCCTCTTTGTGTACAACATATCTACCTGTTTGTTTGCCCTTGCTGGTGCAGCCGCATGAGGGAGAAAGAGGCTTTCTCTGAGTGTTGTTTTCCAGTGTTTTCCAGTTTTCTTGGTATGCACCAGACACTCTGATGTGTTTGTGGAAAATGCAGTCTCTTGGCCTAGTCCCACATTGTTCTTTCCATGAACAGACACCTTTGACTTCAGTAGAGCTCTGGTGTTTGGGCAGAACCATGCCCAAGGCTCAGAGAGAGATCAGACTTAGGGGGTTTCAGGCAACTGTAAGTTTGCATCCTTCTTTTCTTCATGGTGAGCATTCATGGTCTGGCTTTGGCACACAAATTTGTGGGCTGCAACACACCAGAAACCAGAAGCTGTTGTTTCCTATTAGCAGGGCAGTAATCAGTTCATATTTGTGTTTTATTGCTGTGGATCTGGGTCATTGTCTTGTTTTGTACAATTTGGAATCGTTCCTGTTAGTGTATCCCCAAACTTATTTGTTTACATGTTTTTCTTCCCTAGCAGCCTGTCACCAATTAACCTGGCCGTACAGTCTGGCCTCCCTTCTGCCCTCTTGTCCCTTGAAGCCACTTTATCGTGGATGCTCCTTTGTAGTGAAGATCTGAAATCTGGAACTGCACTTACTGCAGCACAGACCACCTCTCTGTGTACATCAGATGTACAGGATTGATTTTGCTTTCATATTCTGCATGCCTAAGTATTTTTATATACAAAAGCTGGTCTTGACTGCCATTATATTTGAACATTATGCTTCAGTTTGACCTCATTATACATGAGCCATTCTACTTCCATTCTAGATGATGTGTGAAGCTTTGCTTGTTTCAATTGAGAAACTTTTAGAGTAAATGAATACTTATCTATATTTGGTATTCTTTAAAGAAAATGGGAACCCCATGCATGCATCTAATGGTGGAGTCTATGGAGAAAGTTCCATGGAGTATCATTTTTAAAATGTTGCCATATCGTGGCTTTCTCACATTCATGAATGCTGGCTAAATATTTTCATGATCTGCAGCTGGCCGACCCTCTGCTTTTTAGCTTGTGGTTTTAGACACTGCCATATCTCCCTTATTGGCTTTTAGGAATGTAGCTGGCTTTGCTACCAGCTCTCTGCAGAGAACTCAGCAAAGTCTGCTGTCCTGGACCATTTTGGAATGGTGGCTTCTTGTACTGACATTTAGATGCTGCTGAAGTTATTAAGAACAATTTAATGTATATTATGTCTTATATGCCATAATGTGGTAATTGATGTTTTGGTTAACAGGCAAAGCCTCATAATAACCGTGTGTTTTGAAAAAAAAAAAGTTGGATTTTACCAGCTGAAATGAAGAGAACAGTAACAATAATGTTTGATATAATATGTATTGGGATGTGACTTAATGTTCTTCCAGACTTTAATACGTTCCACATACAAAAAGTAGTGCCTTAGGTTTAGTGGAGGGGTAAGCTATATTTTTACCATATTTTATATTTTAAGTCCTAACATTTCTAATGTTACTCAGAAATACCTGTTTTAAGGAGATGAAATCAGTTGGACGAGGGGAAGAGGAACTTAGAAAGGAGAAAAGGTGTTCTGATTTGCTGGTGTCCATAAGAAACCAGCCCACTGCAGGCTGACTGAGCATGTACAGATGGCACAGGCAGGGAAACCAAGCCTTGAAAATCTCTTCCATTAAATCTGGATTTAGATGACTTTAGATTATGTGTCAGCACATTCCACAGAGAAGAATTAGGAACCGTTCCTGTTTAATTTGCAGGGTTACTTCTCCCCTCTCCTTCTTTACGTCACACTGTGGGAACACACTGCTCAGCTGGCCTATTACAAACATTTGAATTTCCCAGTGCTTTCACACCTTAGGAAGGGCCTGATCCTCTGCAGGGATGGCAGCGCTGGCTCCCCTCGGCACTGTCGGGATTGAGCCAGTGTGGAGCAGGATCGTAAAAACAGGGCAACCCCAACTCTGGGAATGATTGGCATCTGACTCCATTGATTCAGAAAGCTTTATAAAACTATATTACATTATACTACTCTATATTAAAGAGATACTATACTAAAGAAAACTAGTGAGTGTCTCCAGCCAGCCAGGACACAGCATTGAGCCAATTGGCCAAGGAAACAAAATCCCCAGCAGAATCCAATTGACAAATCATTTCAGGTAAACAATCTTCCTAACACATTCCACATGTGCAAAAACAACAGGAGCAGCAAGTAGAGATAAGAATTGTTTTTCTCTTCTTCTCTCTGTGCTTCTCCAGGAAAAAACCTTGAGAGAGAGAATAATGTGTCTCTCTGTTCTGAGAATGTGAATGCCACAGGGCAGGACATGGGCCTTGGCCACCTGTCAGCAGAGAGACTTGTCCCAGTGGTCTGACACTAACCCCTTCACCTTGCCACACAGCCTGTGTCCCCACCCTGTCAAAACACTGTTCCTCCCACTGTTGGAAATACTCTGTGTTTGTTGTATGGGTGATGATTTTAATGGAATCACTAAAATGCATGAATAACAGAAGGAAATCTCTTGACGATCTCTAACTGCTGTGTATGCTCATCTTTTCTTCTCCCCACACCACCTCACCTGTGTTCACCTTCCTTTGTTTGTGTTATGTCTATTTTAGATTGTAAGCTCCTCAAGGCAGGGAACTGATGCTTCTCAACTGTCTGTAAAGCACCTTTTACAACTGTGGTGCTCTTTGAAATATCAAAAAATAATAAATATTAGAATCGATTCCCAATGAGTTAAAAGTTTTATTTGTTTCTAACGTTTTAGCCAACAGCAAGGGCAGCAGGCCCACCAGACTGTGTGTCAGGAAGGTGCTCAGAGGACTGGGGGTGGCAGTGTCAGCCCCTGTGTGCTGACAGCCAGCAGGGTTTGCTGTCTGCTGTCCCTGCTCCGTGTTTCACTGCTCTTGTGGAACTGCTGGTGCCGGTGTAACCTGTACAACCATCCTTCATTGCTTTCTCTCTCTGTTGTCTTTGATAGCAGCGTTCCCCTTATCAGTTCCCTCATCATCACTCCCGTCTGATCTCCTCTCCGAGCAACTTTGAGCACATCTACCACATGACTGTTAATTCAGCTGAAAAATTCCTCTCTTACGATTCCATAAACCCTGCATTTTCCCCGCCTCCACGCTCTGTCCTCGGTACTCCAGACTTTGTCACTCTGAGGGTATGAATGGCTGAGTCAGGTGTTCACTCTACTAACACTGTGTGGTTTTCCTTTTGCCTGGCTATTAACGTGGGAGAAAACCCCTTGTAAGCTGTTCTTTCACCCCTCCGTTTCCTTTTGTCCCAGACAATTTACTTTCTGCTATCAGCTGGGGTCTTCCCACAGCTCTGACAAGAAACAGACACTTCATGACCTTAGAAAAAAAAAATAAGAGTTTGGGGCTGAACCTTTTGCTATGAGAATAAAATTTTTAATCACCAGGAAGGATGTGGGAATTTTGAATGATAAGTTCTCTGTTGCACAGTGTTCATCCTCCAGCCGAGTGCTGTGTACCAGGTTGAATTAGGAAGAGGTTCTGGATCTGTCTGTGTTGGACCAAGCTTTCAGGCTGTTTGTTTATGATGAATTCATGTGGAATGTGAGAATTTGCGCACTGTACTGGACACAGATGGGAAGAGACAGACACAATTAGTGCCTCAAGCAGTTTCTAGGTTAAAGTAAATAAGTAAATTAGAACATGTAGAAACAGGATAAAAATTAAAGATGATGACAACTTGCTGATGTAGATGCTCTTAACCCTGGTAGTTTTAGGAAGAGGATGAGGTAGAATGCTGTTCTGTAGACATCCTTCCAGTTGCAATGTAGATTGGAGGCATGGAAGTGGTCTTCCCTTTTTTCTTGCATTGTGCATCCAGGTCTGCCTACCTGGGGTTTGCTGTGTCCTGTAGAAATACAAACCAAAGTGAAGCAGGCACACAGCTACCTGCAGTGCATCACAGCTGTGTACCATGCTGGGGCCTGCAGCTCTGCCTGGGACAGATAAATCAGGAATAACCTGTAGATAGATGTGTGTGATGCTCTTGTTTGCTCAGGATTTGTGTGGATCCAGGCCATGCCCGTTGCTGTCATGGGAACATTGCTCTTGGTTTCTGGCAAACCTTCACTGCCAGCCTGCTTTGAGTGCCTCTGGGCTGCTGTGCTGGAGCCCTGTCACTGGGAAGGTTTTGGAAACATACCTGCATCCAACACTGGACTGAATTTAAAAATGCAGGAGAAAAGTAAATCTTCTCCTTATGGCTCCAAAACCAATTTGCACAGTTGAGCTTCGACTGGTTGCCTGCATGGTCATGTGTCACTGCTGTGAGTCCCAGTTGTGACAGCCATTAATACACGAGAGGAATGCTCTGTTCAAATGCAAAAAAAAAAAAAAAAATACTGTTAAGTTGAATTGAAAGCTGTTTCTCTCCTAGAGAGTCATTATTGGGTCACTGAAGCCGTGTTTCAGGTCTGGTTGTAACAGGGTTATTTTAATCCAACTGTGCTATAAAATTGTCTGTGTTTAACATGCAGCGATGTATCACCGGACTGTGACCCTCCCTCTACCTTTCCTTTCTCATGTGAGTAGTCTCCCTGGGATGAGTAAGGAATGACCCCTGGTGCTTCAGACAATAACTCTCAATTTTTTATTTAGGAGCATCCTTCATCCTAATGTTGCAGCCTCCTAATATAAACTGGAGGGAAAAAATGTGCAGTGGGCAACCTGGAGTGTGAAAATCCTGCCTTGTTAGCTCCTTAGAGCACTAGAGGTTTAGTCTTGTGTGAGGAAAAGTGTTTGTCTGCTTTGTGGCTTGAGGGTAGAGGTGCTGGAAGCTGTGTGGAAAGCCAGGCTGTGAGTTTGGTTTCATGTCTGTCCATCCTCCTTTGTGTTTGGAGACGTTAGTGTAAGAAAGGTGCCATGGTCCCAGGTAGGATCGGATATTGGAAACCAGGACAGTGTGGAATCCATAGGGGAGTTGAAAAATGACTTGTTAAGGTAGGGTCTGTCATACTATTTCATGGAAGAGTTGAAAGCTGAGTTTGATAGTGTGATGAACAGAGCACTACTTTAAAGCAAAAACAAACCCCAAAACAAGACCAAGCAGCACAATGGACAGGGGAACAGAAGCAGTTACTGTGCTGCAGCTGTCCAGTCAGACCCTGTCCCTCATCCCAGTGCTGGAGAAGGTGCCCAGGGAGCTGGAGCAGAGGCTCTGTAACACTGGCAGTGATTGCACCCACAGCTCCACTCTCCAGCTGGAATGGGATGCTCCCAGCTGATCTGGGCCTCCCACCCTGTTCCACAGTGATTCACTTTGCCCAGCAGCAGCTTCTCTGCTGCTGCTTTTGCCCCCACTTCTTTCATCTTTCTCCATTTGGTCCAGCAGTGGGGATGAATTTTGCTGCTAGGATTTGAATTGTTGCTCGAAATGAGGGGTTTTTGTCTCTCTAAAGCAAGCTCAGGTTTCCTTTTGTTTTCTGTGTTTTTAACCTGCTGCGTTGTGCTGCTTTATAACTACTGCTAATAACCGCCGTTTATTTTCCTTTGAATCCCCTTCCTGCATCATGTGCACACCACTTCCAGGAGGTTTGGTCCAAAATGCCAGCATCCCTGGCATGTGCTTATTTTATTTTTAGAACAAAGAACGATGAAAGATTTGCTTTGTGGAGAGATTTTCTACAAGGAATTACATGGACGTTGCGAACTGAGGTCACCAAAAATAGCCACCTTTAGAGCACAGTGTTAAAACAAAGGAGTCTTTTTTTGTGCACCCACCCATTCCCTCCTTCCCCTGATGCCTGTATGTTGTCTGCTCAGTCACTGTGAAGGAGGTTAATCACCTTATCATTAAACATAATTGTTCTCTTTGCAAAAAGAACCTCTGTAGGTTTATACCAGCCTCGCAGCCCCAGTGTACTAACCCCAGCGCACACGTGCTAAAGCGTGCTGCCAGTGCTGCACTTGGCTTTCCTTTCTTTCTCAAGACACAGCAGTAACTCATCCCTCAGCCCCCCAGTTCCTTTGTGTAGGGTCAGGGGAACGAGCCTCCCTGGTTTAGGTACAGCCAGGATGCTCAGACTCTGCAGCTCAGTTTGTCACGTGGGGAAAAAGCAGGAGCTCAGTATTTTGTACTACAAAGTAGGTTGATTATTAACATTAAAAAACAAAAAAAGAAGGGGGGAAGCTAAGCAAGAGACAGCAATAGAATCCCACAAATACTTTAAGAGACCGTTTCAGGCCTTTAGGTATAGATCCTCACGGTGCAGCAGTGGAAGAAGGGAGAAGTAAAAAGGGCTTTTTCATTGGTAAGGTCTCTGATTTTCTTTTGCTGGTGTTTGTAAGAGATCTGGGAACAGATGAGAGATTTTAATTCTTATTTGCTGCACATTAAAAACCAGCCATTTCTGGCACCCTGGGAGAATGAAAAGCCAAGGGTTTGCCTGTAAGATCAAAGGAGGCTGTCAGAGCAATGATTCCAAGGATCATTGTAAGACTGGATTTGGCAGCAGGTTGGTAAAATTTATCTGATGTAGTCTGACCTGTATAAAATCTGTTTCTTACAAAACCTCAGTTTAGTTACCCATTTTAAAATACAGATAGAAACACGGTTAGTACCAAGGTTCTCTGAGAATATCCTTGTGGGGGTAGAACTTTTTTTCTGATCTGAAATTTTCATTAACACCCTAGTTTAAAGAAGCACTACAATTGCAACTATTGTTTTATATATGGCTACCTCTTCTCAGTGTGAGGATGGAGAAATAATTAAATATAAATAGGGAGAAACAAACAGTTATTGCAGAGGGGGGGCTGTAGAGGGTAAAGGAAGTAATTCTTAGAGCTACCTGCATTTCTTTCACGTTATGCATCTGTGAAGGTTCCCTGAGCCTAATCCCAGTTAATAGTATTGGCTTAATAGTTAATATTAGCTTAATAGTTAATGGTGTTGGCCTAATAATCACAGTGTACTGATGAGCAGGACGAGGTCTCATATTTAGGCAGAGCTGAAATGACACACATGGGCAAGTCCTTCTGGGCTAGGAAGCCAGCTCATATACAGAGAGAGGGGCTAAATAATCTGAGAGGCCTTCTCCCCTATGGTCAGCTGTAGGTTAACAGAAGCAGAAATAAAATCTCCCAGAACTCACTTCAAAGTACTCTTTTGCCTTCTTTTAAAGACAGCTTATGTTTGAGGAACTGCCGTATCCAAGTAGGGAAGTTGTGGTTTATCCCCTCAGTAAAGGACCACTTTAGTCCAGTAATTGATTAATTTAGAAAATCACTCTGGAACTCTCAGGATTCAAAATAGGAGCAATAATCAAAATATGTAGAAAAACAGTGGCATGTGCTCTGGTCCTCTTTGTGCAGGCTGGAAACAGGAGGCTGCTTCTCTCTTTGGCTCAGTTAGTGTAAGTTTGGAGGGATGCTGTTAACACCTTTGGAATTTTGTAATTGTTATACAGATTGATCCACCATCTATTAACTCTGCAAGCATTAGGGATTAACCTGGATATTGTATCAACTTATAGAATCATGGCACAGACCATGGCATCAAAGAGAAATTGTAGTGAGATCCTTGGAAGCTGGTGTTCAGAAAGAAGGCGTTATGCAGTGTAACTTGAATATATCTACAGCAGCTTAATTAGGCTTGCAAGCCATCCTTTCAGGGAAATTCTGGAATTACTCCATGTATTCTTTCAGTTGCCTGCATATGTCCATGTAATTCAGCACTTCACTGCCGCGTTGCGCGTGCTGCCAGTCTCTGCACTAAACTGCAGAATATTATTTTGCAATTTTTGCTGACTTGCTGCCCAGATACTCAGCTCTGGTAAGGTCGGGGGTTTCGTGTGTTTTGGGGCCTTACAACGCAGAATTGCAAGGTGGAGGCAGCAGTGGATAAGTGAAGGTGTCGTGTGTGTGTGTGCATTTCAGAACCTTCGGCCCCAGGAGAGCCGGACGGTGTTCAGCGGCTCCGTCAGCATCCCGTCGATCACCAAATCCCGCACGGAGCCGGGACGGTCCATGAGCGCCAGCAGCGGCTTAGCAGCACGTAAGCAAACAGAGCTCTGTTGTTTTGGAGGCTGGGCACAAGTGTTTCAGGGAAAGGGCTGCCTGCAATTGGTTCTGTCCACGCTGGATGAGGATTTTACAAAGTGATGGCTGACTGTGTTGCTGCCAAGGCCAGCAGAGCATTTTAGTCTTGCTTTCAAAGGAGCATGTGAATAAGCAGGTAGTGCTTTTGAGAGTCAAACATTTGTAATTTGTCAGGGTTTTTTTAATTGATGTTAGAATTCAAATTACATTCTTAGCCCTGGGACTGCTTTGCTCCTGCTCAAGTGTTTTAAATCAGTGACAAGTTGTTCACAAGCTCCGTGGTTATTAATTTTGTTGCTGAGCTGTGTGTAGCTCTTGATGCCTCTCTTGCCCCTATTGCAAAGACAAAGCAGTGGACAGCTGGCTGCTGGAATGGAAGAGTGGCATTGCATTGAAAGAGGCCAGTGGAATTAGGCAGCCACCACAGCTGTTTCTACAGCTGCCACCTTTGCTGGGAACACGGTGACTGGGTAAAGTGTTCTCACACTGACAAAGTGTACGATGGCCAAGGGACAATCTGACTGGAAATCCACAAGAACTGCAGCAGCCGGGATAAAAGCCCACACAGCCTGCAAGCCATGAGCTTGGGACCCACTGCAGGAAAGCAGAACTAGCCAGAGAAACAGCTGAACAAGTTCCTGGTGTGCTGAGTGGGGTCTGTAGCACGGTTTGATTCTCTGTCGCAGGATCATCGGCACAGAACGGCAGCGCTTTGCGCAGGGAATTCTCGGGAGGGAGCTACGGAGCAAAGCGCCAGCCCATGGCGTCGCCCTCAGACGGGTCCCTGTCCTCGGGGGGCCTGGAGCAAGGCAGCGATGCACCCACAAGGGACTACGAGCGAGAGGTGAGTGACTGACTGCAGGAGGAGCAGAAACCTTACGGGTGTGGATAAAGGTGAGGCACTTCAGTCCTCTTGTGGGGTTGGCTGCAAGGTTGGGAGTTGTTGGCAGTGGAGAGATGGATTTCCTGTATTTGAAGCTACAAAAGGTTTTGGTCAAAGTGTCAACTCTGGTCCTGGTATTTAAGATGCAGAAAAAGCTCTCTGTGTTCCTTACCTGGAGATGTGTGGGTAGCAAGGCTCCCCCAAATACCAGCCCAGTAGAGTAACAGCTTGATAGTGGCATGTCACAGCTTGAAGTGCTGATATTCCTTTTGCCCTTTATGTGCAAAGATTCATAAGCTATTTTAGCGAATCTTCACAGGAGACACTTTTTACTCAGAAGTTAACAAGGTAATTTAAGAATTACAATTTCATTTAGAGCAGGAACTGGATTTAGTAATTTCTATTCTGTGCAGTTGAGACTGTCATTATGATAGGACTGAAATCCTGCCCAGTGCTAAACTCAGTCCCTCCAGACAAGAATGTTTTACATGGGAGATTTCAATCTGAAGCTGGCCTGCAAAACTTCCCCAACCTGTTTTTTTACCAAGGAGTGTAAAAATAAAGAGATCATGCGGGCTTTTCATGGTACTGGATATATCCTGCCAGTGGAAGCTGAAAGGCTGCTCTCAGCCCAAATTCAGGCTCAGAGTTGCATTCTGCTGTGCTCTGGGAGATCCAAGTAACTTGGTGTTTGAATACACAAGATAGGTGTTTGAACTGATACCCTGGGGCTGACATAGAAGAGGGAGCTGTGATGAAGCCACAAAGATTTTAGTGCAAGAGCATCTTGTTCATAATCTGTGAAAGTGCAGGAGCTGTTGTAGCTTCACACTCTGCTGGCCTTAATGTGCACACTGTGCTGGCCAGGCAGCCTTTGGCAACACAGAGACTGCCAGAATCCCACTGGTGCTGTTCCTTATGTCAGTATCACTTATGCCTGCTGAAAGCAGAGTGACCTGACCACTTCATCTCGGGTCTCCTTGGAAATTGCGAGCAAAAAAGATCCTTTAGCATATTTGGACACAAGCAAAATCCACAGAGGCCTTTGAACCCAGCCACTGTTGCTGAGACACTCTCAGTCACCCCCAAACTTGCTATCCTGTTACTTACTGGTGTTCTTGTGTGTCTCTGGGCTGCAGGACTCTGACTCTCCAAGACATTCGACGGCATCCAACAGCTCCAACCTCAGCAGCCCTCCCAGCCCAGTTTCTCCTCACAAGACCAAGAGCCTCTCCCTGGAGAGCTCTGACCACGTGAGTTGGGACTCATGAACTGCTTCAGCATTCAGATTTGGCATCACATCAGCTTGCTGTCCCTATGGCTGTCCCCTTCACTTGCTCCAGTTCTCACCTTCATCCTCCTAACCCTCCCCATTCCCTGTCGGAAGAGGATCTGGGAGTGGGGTACAGAGGAAGGTAAAAGCTGGTCGCCTTCAGCACCGTTCAGCATTGCCTCACCTCCCCAGATCTGACAGCAGCAAATGAGCAAAGCTAGGGTGTTGGTAAATATCAGATGCTGTAGATTTGTATTAGTATTGGTTTCATTTTTGTGGTTACAGCTGCTTCATTTTTAAAGACATATTTATCCCACTCCCCTTCCACTTCCCAAAAGGTAGCGTAAGTAGACCAGACCAGTGTCAACAAGAGAAAATTCAGAGGGATTTTGTTTTCATACAATAGCTCATTGTACTGTACAAGAGTAGCACAGAGACCCCTTCCCCTCCAAGGGGAATGATCAGTATGTCAGAGGCACATAAAAGCTTTCAGCCACCACGTTTGAATGTCAATCTGATTGTCGCCAGCAAATCCTTATTGATTAAAATGATGCATATTTTACTACAGTACAGAGTTTAAATAAATACGCAGATGTTAGAGTAAAATACGTATGTATATATTCAAAGAAAAAAAGCATTGTGTATGCAGCAGAAGATGGATGCTTATTTAAGAGAGCCTTTAATTTAAGATTTGTGTTGTCCCTGTTTTCATGCTCGGTGATTTGCAGACTCGGAGGCCTGGCTAAAACCTCCCGCAGGACAGAGATCCCGTGTGCGCGGCGCTGCCGGGACAGCCCCCGCAGTGCTCTCACAACACTTCTCTCCTTCTGGCCGTAGCAGAACTGAAGCTGTAATTCCCATTTTCCTCACAGTCCCCATCCTTTTCAGAAACTACAGCAGTTGGCAGCAAGGCCGTGTCCCAGCAGCCGCAGGCTGCCCTGGTTCTGTGAGCTGGAGCCTTGCAGCAGCTGCAGGAGAGGTCCTTCAGGCAGCAGGGGAGTTCAGTGCAGCTGGATTCAGCAGGAAAACTGTTTCCCTGGGTCATCCTTTGAGCAGGTTTGACTCAGAAGGGAGCAGTCTTCCACACCTCCTTGACCATCCCTAAGCAGCAAACTCTTACTGTCATTACCAAATACTGGTTGCTAATACACATCAGCCAAACGAGTGCCCTTAGCCCAAAGCTGGCCCTGGCTGGCTTTGCTGTCACTGTAGCAACAAAGAACCTTGAAGACTGACCTCACACTGTTCACACTGTGGTAGTCAGAGATGCCTGGTGACCCACAACTGCTGCACTGGCAAGGCTGGTTTTCCTCTGCCCCCTACCTGTGCTGTGGGTTTGTGCAGTTTGCAGTTGTTTCTATGTGCTCACCTGCTCTTCGGTTCCAAAAGCAGGGCAGGTTGGAGGGCAGCAAGTATTGCAGTGGAAGGCAGAGCCCGCTGAAGCTGGAAAAATAAATAAAAAGCTGAAGTGGTCACCTAGTCGACAGAATAAATGAAAAACTGATAGGCAGATGTATGGTAAGAGGAAGGTGTCTCTTCTCTTTAGTTAGCAAGGCAGATTGTGATTTTCAGTCAGGATGAGCCTCTCTTCCCAGTAGTGTTGTTGCTGACTTCATACTATGACCATACTCAAACACATAAGGGCTTTTTGTATTTAGAATATTGGGGTTTGTGGGTTTCAGAAACTTGTTATGGCTCTCATTAAACCATTCTGTATTCTTGCAGTCAGCAGTTATGTAGAGTTTCACCCACACAGAGGTGTTTGGAGTTTTGCAGTTTCTGTCTTCCCTAATAGAAGTTGTAGGTAAGTTCAAACCATGTACAGTAATTTCCAGGTATGATCTAAATGTGACATAGGGAACAAGACACAGATCATCTAATCCATTTAATCGTGCTGGGTCTCCTAGGTAAGATTTCTCTTTCACTCTGAATCAGGAGGCTTATCCAAGTTTAAGTTCATTCAGTGTTATTTTGGGACAGGAATTCAAGAAATTATTGTAGAAACCATCATATCAAAAGCCTGTCTCTCTCCTATTTGGGTGTTTCAGAGTAGCAAGCTGGTTGTATTGTTTGTTTTCACTTCAAACCTACTACTTTTGCAAGCCTGGCATTTGAAGTTAAAAGCTTTAGCAAACAGCAAAGCATCTGAAAGTAATTTCTCCCAGAAAAGTTTATGTATTTCTGAGGGACACATAGGCAGGGCGTTATTGGCATTATTGAAATTCCACATCACTTCTTTTTAAAGGCTGCATATTGCTTCAAGTATAGCCACTGCTTTTTCCCCACAATTCCCTGGTTTTGGTGAAGCATGTCCACACACTTTTCAAAGCCTTTGCAGACTAGTTTTGTATTTACTGTATGTTGTATTTAAATAATAATCTTATTTTGATGTTGAGAGAAGGCATTTAAACAGTAGTCATTAAAGACAGAGCAGCCTGCATGGCAGTCCCCTGAGAGAGGGTCACAGGGTCGTTTTCCATGGACTTTATTTTTCCACAGCTGTGCTAAAGCTCTCTCTGAAAATGGAACCTGAAGAGCCACCACACAGCAAACAACTAAATTGAGTAAACCCCTGTGTTTGCTCCGTTCCAGTGCCTGCAATCCATTGATACCAACCCCTGGCATTTTCAGGCAGAGCACAGGTCAGCTGTGTTCCAGCACTGAGCTCCAAGGATGAGAGCTCCACAGGCCCTTGCTGTTTGTGCACTACAATGCCCAAGCCTCAGCAGCCTTCTCTAGGATTTATTTAATCATTAGCTCGGTCATGTGCATTTTTATACGTGTCTGTTCAGAAGAGAAACAGCAACTGTTCTCTCAGTTGAAAAGCAAATGACCACATCACTTATTTGAAAAGAGAAAAATTGTCCTAGGGCTTAAATAGTTTTATATATTTGGGGGCCATTTGGTTACAGACTCAATTTGAAACCACACTCATCTCTTTTTGTTGGCATGCATACTGCAGCTGAGCTTTCTGAAGACTCATTGGGCTAGGAAAAGTAACTTGGTCATTTGAACTGTAAGGCTCTTGACTGGTATCTCCAAGGCAGTTGTCTCCTGAGGTTTGATGTTTGCTCCTTTGCACTGTAGCACTGCTTCAACTTCACAGGTCGAGGGCTGCATTTTGTTCTGGGAGCTTAAAATGTCCCCCTGAATTCCTGACTGTGGCACATGTTCTCTGTACACAGGATATGCACCTAGCTGGTTTTTTTTTCCTTTTGGCTGAGACTGAAGGTGTTTGTTTGCATTTTTGACAGTGCTTGAACGGATGGTTGTTGGGGTTTTGCCTTTTTTTCCTCTCTTTTGATGGTAACAAGGATCTGAACAGATTCAGGCAGCTACTAAGGATTCCAGGTTATAGGATGGAATAGGTTTGGTAAATAGTTTTCCCCTGCACTTGTGCACACACAGGTATGTGGCTTCCTCCCACGTTTCATAAACTCAAAAGCAGGGCTGCAGTACTCTCTTCTCTCTTGCCTTTGGCCTGTAGAAGACAGCTGGTGGTTTCAAAAAAACATTCCTGAGACTGTGGTGAAGTAGTTGCTTCTTTTCCCCTCCATTAATTGCTGTGGCTTGTTATGAATGTGCATTTTGCCCATTTAAATGAGTTTCAAAACTGAGTCAGGAATGTTCTCTCTTTGATTTGATTCTGAATAAGTTACAACCCAGGTGTGTTATCCTCAGGTACATGGCAGAGGGAAGTTAAGGGTCTTGCCGTACCAAAAAAGTCCAAAAAGCATAGTTTATTTATAGAAATGTAGTTTAACTGCACCTAACTGGTTCACAGTGTGTCAGCCCTTCCAAACAGAGCAGTTGGATTATGAACACAGAAGCAGATTCTGGCCCTGTGTTGTACTGCATGGCCAGACCCTGAATGACAGGACAAACATGCTCTTGGGTGCAAAAAAGTCTTCTTTTCCGTTTTATGACTGCTGTTTAACTTTAAATGAATGCAGTAAGAGTAAAACTTACTGCAGTGCAAGTACCCACAGCTCCTGAGCCTTAGTCTGAGAATCAAAGTGACACATAGCAATTCCTGCTGTGGGTTCTTTTGTTAATAGGAGTTCGTTCCATGGAGGAAATGGGACAACTTTTCTGCACGAACACAAAGTGTTAGAACCTTTCTGTGCACTTTGTGGTCAGTTGATTTGATAAACACCCCCAGAGGCCGCTCTGCTGCAGGCTTTCCAGTCTGAATTCCAACTCCTCTCATTCCAGCCGCAGCTCAGTACAACCTGTTTTCATTCTCCATTTAAGACAGTCATCTACAGGGAAGAAATCCACAAACAAACCAGTGTTGCTATACCTGCCTTTTTATGTATGACAGTTTCATATCATTTATTTTTAAAATATGTTTTTTAGGTTTTTCATTGTAATATTATTGTACAGTTTTGCATGGCATAGATGTAATCACTTTTTTGTTTTAGAGTATAAAAGCTGACAAGTGTGCGTGTGGGGGAAAAAATTCTGCTTTTTGCCTCTTCTCACTCTTTTGTTTAATGCCCTCAATGTTGTAGGGGACATTGTAAGAGATTCTCTGCTACAGAACAATGATGTAGATTCTTTTGCACAGAAATATTTAAGGTGGAACGGTCAACAATGTAAAAATGACTTACCACCAATATTTTATGTTGGTAACACACTTAATATTAACCTACTTTGATGTACTGCAATAAAACAGGGAACTGTTAGAAATGTAGATGTTCTGTCTTTTTTCCCACCTCCCCCCATTAAGCTTTGAGGAGGAAATGGAAAGGGAATGATGGTGCTCTTGAAGATGCAACACGCTGGTTCTGACACATTTGCACAAGTGCACAGTGGGAAGCAAAGGAGTAAGTGAGAAAATCGATTTCCCTTTAACATCTTTCAGAAAAAATAACCAGATCCTTTTGAAAATACAAAATCAAAGTCACTGGAGACTTTGCTATATTGAACTACAGTTTTCCTGACCTTTTTCTTGGGTCAGCTGTGCTGTGATGACCTAAGAAATAGGTGGTTATGTAGTTGCAGTCAGTGGTTTTGGTATTCCTCCTTCATTTGCAGTTACACATCAAATATTTCAGCTCTCTTACTGTTGGAGCCTGGATTGTTTGTTAAGTTCTGAGCTACCAGCATCACACTGGCCTTGATGCACTTTTAAGTACATCTCGGAATACCTGTGAAGTTTTGCGTGTGCCCTGACCCTTTCCTGTCATCCCATCCCTCCCAAGTCAGCCTGGAATTTTTCCAGTACCAGTGTCTTGGTACATCTTCCTTTTCATTCATTCCCCTGTTGGTGTAATGTTGGAAATGGCCTCATTGGGCCTGGGGAAGTTTAGATTAGGTGTTAGGAAAAATTTCTTCACAGGAAGGCATGTGAAATATGGGAACAGGCTGTGCAGGGAAGTGGTGCAGTCGCCATCCCTGGAAGTGTTCAAAGGATGTGTGGATGTGGCACTTAAGGACATGGTTTAATGGTGAACAAGGCAGTGCTGGCCTCAGGGTTGGTTTTGATGGTCTTGGAGGTCTTTTCCAACCTCAGTGATTCTAGGATAAGCTTTGGTACCTGTTTCAGTGACCCCCCCCTGCAGCAGGAATACAGGACTGGGCTGTTATTAATCCCACACTGCCAGCAGTGCCAGCCTGGGCATTCTTCCATCTCCAAATCCTACCAGGACCAGCCACGATTCCCACTTCTTCCAAGGCCTTAGGCTGCCTTACTCCTGTCCCTCTCTTTCAGTCAAAATGCTCACATGGATTTAAGCCCGTGGCTCATCCCATTGAGGCAGCTGCTGTAGCTCTGGGACGTACCCTGGCTCCTGTGCTCTGACTTTTCAATCAGTGCTGTATTTCCGATTTCCCAGGGGTCCAGTTGCACATCACAGCTGTGAAGGTCTTGGGAAATGGGCCTTGTAGTTGGGGATTTGGGCATTAGAAAAGCAGAAACTGAACTGCATGTTCACCTCCAGTTCAGCTCCTCAGCATTCATTTTCTGTTTTGATGCAGCAGCCAGGCTGACTAAAGAAAGAACGTAGGAAAATCCCTGCTACCAGAGGTAGCCTGAATCTTGATCCTTTAGAATGGAAAATCACTGTCATTCGAGAGGCAGCTTTCATCTGCAGCTTGCCCTCTGCAAAGAAGAAATGTTTTCACAAGAGATTTTTCTAGACCATAGAAGCTTCCTGCAGCATAGAAACAGTCACATCCTCAACCCTGCAAGCACACTTCAAGCAAATGCAGTGGCTGGCATGGATCAAGTGTTCCTGCTCGCTGTATAATGTCACAACTTCTCTGACTTGAAGCCAGAGTTTCTAGCTCACGTTTTCTACACGGCTGTTCCTCTGACATGCAATTCCTCCTGTCACAAATCTCTCTGCACAAAGCTACAGCCATTATTAATGCTTTCAGAGCATACACAAAAGGTCAGGAGAATTAGTGACTGAGGGCTCTAATTAGCTCTCCTAATAAAGCAACATCTCAGCTTCTGCAAGTTGCTACCCTCTTGCAAATGCAAAACAACTCCACTGTTCAGCTGGATGTCATTCCTAAACCCTCTCAGGAAGGGGAATGTTTGCCAGGAGTTGAACACTCTTGCCCCAGCATGGTATACACAAGATCTGGGCTGACATGAACAAGTGGAAAAGTGAACTGCAATGCTCCAGCTTACTCTGCCACCTTTGCAAGTTCACTGAACACGCTGGCCTTGAATCTTCAGTTTCAGAAAATCTGCTCTGAAGCTCACACAATCTAATTCCCTTGTCAGCTTTTTATACTTTGCTTTTTAAGCTTTAACATAAGCATTTAACAGCTCAAACAACTCTGCTGTTTTTACAGCTGCAAGGTCTAGAGCCAAAGGAGAAAAACTAAACAATGTCTATCAGAACTCAAAACAAGGAAAGTTACTGCAAATTTGTACACTGATAAACTGCTTGGTGCAAAACTATTACTTCACTGAACAACAGAGTTAACTCTTCTCAAAAGGTTAAGAATAATCTGACTGGGATTTTGAACTGAACTGCACTGCATCTTGTTCAATAAAGTCTTAAATGAAGTGGCTTATATGTTTATGGCTTTGGAATAAAGATAATACCATAACCTGCTTTCCTATTTCTCAGAGGTCCCTCCTGAGAGAGACCATTTATTCACTTACCCGTTCTCTCCCTCTGAAGTCTCAGCTGTCAGGATTTCACACATGCTGAAGTGTAAGATCAGGCAGCCTGGGCATTCCTGGGCTCTGCTAACTGAGCAGGACCAGCTGGGCTTTGCCAGACAAGGACACCTGCCTTAGGAGCACCAGGGAAGCCTCAACTCCAACAGCCTCTCCTTCACAAGTGGAGGAAAGGCAAAGAGACTTGTGTTCAGGAGGCTGCTAACAGAGTGATTAAAAGAAAGGAAGATTAAAAAACAAGTAAATTACCAGGGATTTTCATGGCATGAACAGACCTCAGCTTCTGCTGAGCTGGTGTTCATCCCCCACAACAGGACACTGCTCACTGGAGTGCCCATTCCCACACCAGAAGATGACACAGCCACAAGCAGCTGGCCCACCGCACAAGCACTTGTTTATTGACATCAGGAAGTCGTACAGGTACAGGCTTTGTACAAAAACCTACAAAAGTCAATTTCCTAGCTCGACTCCAAGAGTTTAAAACTGTGCGTCTGGTTTGAACTGTGTGACATTTCAGCTGGATCTGCAGCTGCTCACCAGAGGCAGGACATTTGTTTGCCTTGCTGCAAGTTCTGCCTTACAGGGAAACACACAGAGGAGGGTCTTAGTCAGGAGTCCAGCAAGCAGTGGGTGTCAGAGTTGTAGCTTATCTAACTCACCCTCAGGAAAGCTGATATCTACCAGACAGTGCAGAATCCCACTATTTGTGCCCAGATCTAGCTCTGCTGATTACATGTTTGACTCCCAGAACTGAGATGGGTTGTGAGAGTGTGAATGTGTGTGTGTTTAAAAGAGACTGGCATTCAATTCTCAGACTTTTTAAAATATTTCCTATGTTTAGCTTGCAAGCCAGAAAGAGGCAGAAAGCATAAAACTTCAACGTACACACACGCCCCTTGCGTTAAATCAATGTCAGTAGAATCCAGGAGGGTTCTCAGACTGCCACCACTTGACTTACAAAAACGTGGGGGAGGTGCTGGATGTGTCTGTGGTAGGGAACACCTTGGTATTTCATTCTCTAAATTCACAGTAAGAAAACTACTTGAATTCCACCTCAGCTTGAAAGAGGGAAGGTTTTTAAAAAACAATTTGTGGACAATTACAAATAGGTTTCAATATTAAATTCTGCTCTCATCCTCCTTCCCCTACTTGTTATAAAACCCTCTCAATATGCAGCCACCATCACAATGTTACAAATGCATTCAAGGTAGTCAGCTGGTGCCTTGAAGCAGCACAGAAGCACTCAGATTTTCCTGCAAGCTGTGGGCTGTGCTGGCAGGACAGACACAGCAGGAAAGAGCAGCTTTGTCCTCGTGGAATGCCCTCTTGGCTTCCAGGGCATGGGGCTGCTGCATCTCAAGAGGATGGAGAGCTGGGGAGCAACGCAGGGGAGGCTTAGAACGCTCTCTGCAAGGCTCAGCTGAACCGGGCCCTCACAACAAGACAAGTCCATTCTTACTACTCCTCTGGCTTCTTGCCCCTGCTGCTCCAGTATTTGCTGTATGCCTCTTGGAACATGTTTTTGCAGGGAATTTTGGCCTTCAGTTTGGTGCAGATCAGGAAAGAGCCGCCCATCTTCCGATGAAGAGAGTAGGTCTCCTCTGGCGGGGGGATGAGCCGATGCTTCAGCATGATTGGGATTAAACCATGGATCTTTTCAGTGGTGCTTTGGTTGCCAAAATCAAAAGGCTCCTTAGATGCAAAAGCCTCTCCCAGGATGAGGACAGCATTTAAGTGGGCATCTTCCATTTCCTGCCCAAAAGGAAAGAGGGATAAGTAACACTTAACTAGAGGGATAACACCACTACCCATGACAACCTCCAAGGAGGAAAAGAAATGTTGGTGCTGACAGCAGCAGCTCAGGGGAAGTAGCCCTGTCCATGACAAAGGGAACCTCCAGCCCCCAGCAAGACTGAGGAACATTTAGTTCATACAGTTTTGAGCAACTAAGCCTTCCAGAAGACCATCTTCCTAGTCATGGAACTTCAGGAATTGTCATCAGCTGCAGGGTCTTGCATGGGGTATGAGAAAGAAAGACAGTGGTTTTGGGGCTAGCTGTATCCCCATTACTTTTCCTGCTTCCAAAAGGAAGTGAGAACAAAAGCCAAAACCTTTTTTACCCTCTTCCCTCGTGCTTATCAAAAGGGCTTTTGGACTGACACTTTTACCACATCAAGAAGTCTGGGAAAGTTCACAGACGTGCAATCACCTTATCTGTGGCCAACACCAAAATCAGACCCTTCTGCTCCATACCTTGATTTCATAGCCAGTGAGGAATTTCATTTCAATGGACTTCTTCAGTACTCTCTCTCTGTCCATGTCAGCAGCTGCCTTGATTACCTGAGAAGGAGGAATACTTTCAGGAGAGCCAAGAGAAGACTGAACAACAGGAATGCTGCACAGGCCATGGGAACACACATCAGCACCACCCACCTGCTCCCTGCCTTGCCTCTGCCCTCTCTTCAGGGGCCTGCATGCTGGGCAGGTTAAGAGCTGCTGGCTAAAAGATCTTCCCAACAGGGCTACACACGGCCCAGAGAATGTAAGG